GTCATAGCCCGTGTGAAGAGGGGAGGTGAGAACACCCTAGGCTGCAGGGAGTTGATTTTACTATTTTTCGTTTTGTATGGTTGACGATTTTTTACGATAAAACACTTTTTAAAAGCACAAGAGAGGAGGTTACCAGAGTGTAGGAAAGGGAGAGACAGCATCAAGAAGCTGCTGCAGGCGAACGAAGCCGTCTTGAGGTGAGCCGGACCGACCGGTCGTACAGAGAGCGAGCAGACGCTGGCCGCGCAGACGCGGTCGGAAAGCACAGACCTGAGTCCGTGCGCTCCTGTCCTCCTTGCCTGGGGTGCGGAGAACGGCCGGTTTCTCCGACGGAAAAAGCACTCGGGCGTCTGTTTTTGGTCTGGGACAGCCAGGCTTCGCAAAGCTGCGTTGTTTCCTGTGTGCAAGAAGGGTCACCCCCACTTTCTTTCATCTGTCCAGAAGGCTCGAATCCTTTCACAAGCAGACCGGCCCCGGCAGCCGCTCCCTGTCTGAATCTGGCCTCACAGCCCACCTCAGACTACGTGTTGGGTCCACCTTTGGCAGGTGTTTCTGAGTCCCGGAGTGGCCCGGGCTGGTTGAAGACCAGAGGGACAGCCTCTGACCCGCCTCTCACCACCTCCCCTGCTGAGACGAGCACCTGCACGCTGACCTTCCTCTTAAGAAGCCATTGCTATTCCTGGCAAGTCCACATTGTATCACTTTGAGAATTTAGTATTTCTCCTCTGATCTGTGCTGCCTAGTCCGCGTCGAGCCTTCATACTCCTGGGGCTGGGCCGCGGAGCGCGAAGCCAGGGTGAGGGGCACGAGCAGCCAGGGTGTGACGGGGCAGGGCAGGCATCGGGCCCACAGCGTGTGCCTGAGGTCGGGAACTCGCTGACGTTGGTCAGAATCCACAGGTGAGATGCTCACAGTAAAGACTCGTTAGTGACCGTCCAAGACTGCGCCGTGGTCACAGATACCTGAGACTGCGCTTCCTGCGTTCGGTGCCAGTGAGACCACCTGCCGGTGCCGACGGGGAAGAGGTTGCGCTGCCGCCAGAGCATGACGTGGTGTGTTTTGTTGGTCGGTGCGGCTTCATTTCTTTCCCTTCCCTCCCTTCCTCGGAGAAAAGTGACCTGGAGGCAAGGCTGTGGGCCCTGCCTGGGGCGCTCTCCGACGGGCGGTTAGCCGGCCGGACGAGAGGCATGGTGCTTCCGGGAGCTCTGGGTGCCAGCAGGCTTCCGTGGAGTGGTCGGGTCTGCTGCTGGTTTGGACAGGTGAGGGTGTCCCCCCAGCCTGCTGTACCCAGTATACCTCTGGCGGCAGTACTAGGATATTACTGAGGGTCCCAGGTGGTCCTCAGGCGTCAGGTCAGACACCCACCAGCTCCCAGGGGCCCCTGCCCTCAGACCTCTTCACACGCAGTGCACCCTTCACTGTCTAAAACAGCATCAGAGAGAAGCTCGGTTCCGGGAGGCGTCGTTCTCCGTGGGAATTCGTGGAGTAAGAGGTAATAACACAATGATTGCGTTTCTGAGTTGGCCATGTAACACGGGCTCGGTGGACGCCGCTGCCCGAGGCACTTAGGGGAGCAGGAGGCAGTGGCCGGGCAGTCTTGGCCAGAGAGGCTGCCGTTGGCCACGACTCGCGGTGCCGTTGGCGCTCCCGTGGGGTGTGGGCCGTGTGTGTGCCAGGGCACCCGGCCTGTCTCGGGAGCTCAGAGGGCTGCCCTGAGAATGCTCGAGACTGACGGAGGACCGGCCCCACGGGGCTCCTAGACCGCAGACTCTCCGCGGTGTAACCGCCACCCGCCCTAAGAACCCGGAGGTCCGGGGTGCCGCGGGGAGGGAGGTGGCCCGAGGCAAAACAGAAACCTCGGGAGCCTCTGCCTGACTCCTGAGCCCAGAGGAAGCCGGAGGGTTGTCATAAGCGTGAAACTGATGACATCAGATTTATTGATTCTCAGAGAGAAACATCAATTTGTTGTCCACTTATTTATGCCTTCACTACTCCATTTTTATCTGTGCCCTGACTGGGGCTCAAACCACAACCTTGACGTATCGGAGGATGCTCTAACTCTAACCAGCGGAGCTGCCCAGGCAGGGCCGCCTCCTGCCTTATTTAAAAGTCACTGCTGTGTAGGACATGGGTTTCGAGGATGAAGGGGACTGTGAGTGTGCCATTTAGGTCAGTGCCGCGGTCCGGGTGGAGAGTGACAGAGGGCCGGCAGGGGCTGGGCGTGGGAGGAGAAGGGCGGGAGTCGGAGGAGACGGGCCGTGCAGCGGGCAGGTTCTGTGTTCAGTCGCCGCAGAAGCTGGGTGGTGAGTATGGGGTGGGTTCCACTAACTGTTCTTTGTGATTTCCAATGTATTTGGTTTTTTTCCACAAAAAATGTTGAAAGAAGAGAAGTGGACGCAGAGCATTGGAGATCTCTCTCCTTGGCATGTGTCGTCAGTTTGGCTCGAATAAAAAACTCTTACAAAAATTCCAAAAGGAAAGAAATGGAAACTAGAAAAGAGAGAAATGGAGAGAGAGAGAGCAATCCGGAAGAGGGTGGGGGGCGGGGAGACTCGCTCACTAGGGCAGGCGTGGGAGCTGGTCTGGCAGGCACTGGCTGGGAAGGACAGCCGGGAGCCTAGGGGTTGGGTGCGTCCCCCAGGGCAGCCCTGCAGGGTGTCTGTGCCTTAGACAGAGTGCTCTCGTGTCAGACTGGGTGACAGGCGGGGGGCGGGGTGGGGGTTGAGCAAACCAGGCACTGCTCCCTCGTTTCTGACACACCGAAGAGTCATGAGTCCTCATTTTCTTGAGGATGCGTTTGGTCCAGCTGATCTCCCCTCCGCTCCTCACCCCTTTCCCGTTAGAGCCACGTCTGGTGCCCTGGGAACCACGGCCTCGCGGTTGCTGGTCCCGCACCTTTGGAGTCTTCTCTCTCCTGGGCACTCCTGGCTGCCCCTTTCTTTCAACTCTCTCCTGTGCTGACCGACTGTGTGCCGTCCCCATCTGCCCTTGTTGGGCTCCCAAGCACCTTCGCTCTCAGGACCTCAGAGGCCAAAGTCAGGTTCCCTTCGCGGGTGCCAGCCCAACCCCGGCTTCTCACCAGCTGGACTCCTGGCTGGGTCTCCCGTCAGAGGGAGAATCTTGAAATCAGAGTCTTAAGACTTCTGTGCCCTTGGGGAAGATTTGTCTTTCCATGGGGAATTCTTTCCTGGCAGTTTTTGAGATACTTTTATTTTTACAAATCGTAAATTTGAGAAAATTTTATCAAGAAAATAGGGGAAAGCATTGTAATTCTCCTGCCAGGACACAGTCAACACAGAAATTCCTGGTTCCGAGGAGTCCACTGACAACGGCCAGGGCACACGGTGGGGGGCGAGGGTCATCTGCTCCCCGTCCTCCTCGTAGGTGACAGTGTGCGCGAGCGGCCCCCTGCTGCTAGAGTCGTTCGTGCAGATAAAATAAGTACTAACGTGTTGATGTCCGTAAGGTACTTCATACGACTCTGGGAGACCGAGGGGGTGCTGGTCCAAGAAGTAGTAAGTTTGGGAAGCAGAACAAGTCCTTAAGTTGGCGATTCGGACCTGCAGTTTTTTTGGTGTGTTGGCCTTGATTGAATGTCATCCTCTTCGAACGTGCCCAGCGGAGTTCGCTGCCATTTTCTAGTGCTTGGGTTTTAGCTGGAGGCTAAAGGTCAGTGTCAGTACCTCTACAGAAAAAGGTGAAAAGAAGGATATGTGAATGTTGGGACATAATCTGACGTGAAATCAGAGAGCTGTCTAAGATCTGAATTGGCAAAGCATTATCAGCTGCAACGCAAAACCGAGTGAAGTCGGGCAGACACCGTTTTCACTGCCGAAGAAATGAGCGAGTGTGCAGCCGACACGCACCCATCGAGGAGGCGCTTCGGGGCGCCCTGTGCGTGGGGCAGGGCACGCTCACCTGGCAGGCGCACCTGGTCTGGTGTTAGCTCTCAGTGCCTTCAGTGATTTTTATTTTGCAATGATTGTGTGTTAAGTTCCCTTTTAATGTGTTCTCTTATTAAATGCTTGTATCGGGTAGAGAGCGCTTCAGACATCGGAATTATCTTGTCACAATATATGTGCTCACAGTAGCAGTAAACCTTCCATGTGTGTTATAACAGGAAAGCGCTGAAATTTATTGTAACCATCACAGAAAAGGGATTTATTTTTAATGGTTACTTAGTATTACTAAAAAACAAGTAAATAGTGTTAAAAAATGCAGAATATTTAAGACTTGGGGAATTCCGGTTTCTCTTCTTGAATGCCGAGGATTACTGTCTGCCAAGAAATTGGAAACATTTGCAAACCATTTAATTCAAGTTCCCTGTGCCTCGGTTCTCGTGTTTTGTGTGGTGACGGGACCTCCTCCTCCTGCTGTGCCACGGCCTCGGCTCTGCTGGGGCTCAGGGTGAGGCCGGGGCCTCTGACCCATCCCGCAGGCTCCAGCCCCTGCCCGAGCTCCGGAGGAGATGCTGAACCCTGTGTCCGACCTTTCCGTTCCGCTCCTGTCATGATGGTCCTGGGTCCAGAGATTTCCCAGCTGCCTGCCTCTCTCCCAGGCCCTGGCCTTTCCCCTCTCAGTTCCCTTTATTTGTCCACAGAGGGTGGGAAAGTCAGTTCCCTCCACGGTCTGGCTCGCCCCAGGCCCTGCCTCCTCGGCCCGCAACCCGGCACCCTTGGCACTGCCCGTCCTCTGACTGCTAGGTAACTGGCCGACTGGGATCCAGAATGTGAATTTTTAACAGCAAAAATTGGCAAAGCAGAGCCATTCCTTTAGAAACTATGGCTGTTTTTTGTACAAACTTGAAATTGGTATTAAATTTCGGGTGTGGGGAATATATACTATTGCATCTATAAACAAAATACCCCGTGTGCTTTGGTGATGGGACCACAGCCCTTTCTCATCCTACCTGGTGGCCTCTGAGACGGCACCGCTGTGGCAGCACAGTGACGCGCAGTGTACTCCCAGTGACCCCTTCTGTTTGTGTCTCCCCTGCGAAGGACCCCAAAATGTACGTCCAGACGGTGCTGGACGTCCACAAAAAGTACAACGCCCTGGTCATGTCGGCGTTCAACAACGACGCAGGCTTCGTGGCCGCCCTGGACAAGGTGGGCCTGTCGGCGGGGGGCTCTCCTGGGGGGAAGGGTGGTGTCGGGGGGAGGGTGGCGTGGCGGCGGCATGCCCCTAACCGGGCCCCGTGTGACGCAGGCTTGTGGGCGCTTCATCAACAACAACGCGGTCACCAAGATGGCTCAGTCGTCCAGCAAGTCCCCTGAGCTGCTGGCTCGGTACTGCGACTCCCTGTTGAAGAAGAGGTATGGTGACTTCGAGTCTTTCTTCGTAAACCTCCATACAGTCCCAGCTTGCATCGAGAAGTTTACATTTGTATTACAGTTGACACACACGAGTGCAATTCTGTGCTTCCTATGAAGATACTTTAGAGCTAATGATCCTCTTTGTCCTCCTGAAAGACACGGCGTGCCATGTGTCACACGTGTGTTAGACCTGCCGCTTGGCCCGTTCTGTTGGTAAAAAAGCCCGTTGGGCAGGCGGCTGTGGCGGGCGGGGCGGCGGCAGGAAGGGGCTGCCCCTGCGGGCCGAGCGCCCTCCTTCCCGTGGAGGGCCTCTCCCGGCGCTGCCGCCGCTGCACTCGCTGGGCACTCCCCTCCTCCAGGGAGTTCGCGTCGGACGGCATAGCGGTCCGTGTCGTTTGCGTGTTGGCCGCCTCGTTGTTCACCCGCCCTGGGCACCGATGTGCGTGTTTTATGGCTGGAGAGCCTCCCTCGGGTCCCTCCAGGCTGTGTGTCTGCTGTGGTTTTCCTCGGCGGAGGGCCGCTCCGGGCATCTCCACTGTGCCGGGCGCCACAGCAACGCACGCCGTTGCCATGGTTTTTCACACCCCAAATCCTGCTGGTTTTAGTATTAGTAAACTTTATCCTCTAAGTCCTCACCCGAGGATATTTTTTATTGGTTTGAGGAGGGGGCGAGAAACATTGACCAGTTGTCTCTTGCACGTGGTACGACGAGGCACCAACCTGCAGCCATTCGGTGCACGGGTGACAGTCCAACTGGCTGCGCCGCCAGGCCCGGCCACAAAGTGCTTGTGTCTCTTGTTACTGGGCCATGGAACCTGTGCCTTTCCAAGTCTTCAGAGTGAAAGCCTATTGTAGAGGCAGTTAGAAAAGTGCCATTTACTTGTACTCAAATGGACTACATTAAGTGAAAACGATTCAGAACGTGTTTTTGAGCTTTTTAATAACTATCTCCTGCTGATTTCAGCGTGGGTTATTCTGAAGGTGGTTTCCCAGTCCCTCTTCCGTGTTAGGCTCACTGTGTGAGGGGCCGAGTGGCCGTGGTGAGGACGGTCACCCCCTTATGCACCAGGCCTGTGGAGACCGGGCGTGGCAGTGCTCAAACCCACGCTCCGGTGTAACCATCTACCTCGTGGCTTGTCGGTGCAGTGTTTGCTGGTTGGTTTTGAGACACTGCCTTTCTCTTAAATTCCAGTTCCAAGAACCCAGAAGAAGCAGAGCTGGAAGATACGCTCAATCAAGTGGTAAGGTGCCTAATAATCACATCGCTTTCAGTGGTCCGTCACCCAACGGGTTGTTTTGAGCCTATTTACGTATAAGGGCATCTGAAATTCAGGCAGTGATAGAATCACTCATCTTATTTCGAGTCTGTGGCAAATCCAGACCAAACCGCTCTCATACAAGTGTTCTCGGGCTCCAGCCATATTTAAAGACAGTGGGGCCGCGTTGGCTGCCGGGGCGCCAGGCAGACGCCTCAACACCCACGGGCTGGCCCCGGCCACCTCAGGCTGTGGGCGCACTCAGGGTGCTTTCTCGGCGGCTTTGCTAGATGGTCGTCTTCAAGTACATCGAGGACAAGGACGTGTTCCAGAAGTTCTACGCAAAGATGCTGGCCAAAAGACTTGTGCATCAGAATAGTGCGAGCGATGACGCTGAAGCAAGCATGATCTCCAAATTAAAGGTAGCGTTATCCTTTTCCAGAAAAAAATCCTTTCGTAGGTCATTACGAAAAGTTCCTAGTTTCCCCAGAAACACAGTGATCAGCGGGCAAAGCCGTGTCGGCATGTGACGAGGACCCTGTCCAGGTGGGCTCTGCTGCCCCACTGCGGGGGGCCTGCCAGGGCCCTGTGACGAGGAGGCCGTGCCTTCCTCCCCCGGACCTCGGGCCCCAACACCCCGGCCTGGCCGCCATGCCGCATCTGAGCGCTGGCCCCTGGCTCCTCACACCTGGGCTCAACTCCATCCTCACCCAGCAGAGCTGCCTGGCGTAGCCCTGGCCACCGTCCTGTGTCGGTGCCTTTGGGCAGCGGGGTGTTTGGTCGTGTCGTGCTTTGGGTCACTGCCTGTGGCCCGGTGTCTGCAGGGGGACAGAAGGAGTCCATCGCTTTGCTGTTGAGAAGGCGTTTTTTTGTTGTTGTTTGGTTTAGTTTTTTGATAAGGACTGTTTTTTAAATCTTACTATTTATTTTTAGAGAGAGGGTAAGGGAGGGAGAGAAACATCAATCGATTGCCCCTTTCCACACACCCCACCTGGGAACCTGGACCACAGTCCAGGTGTGTGCCCTCACTGGGAATTGAATCAGCGACCTTCTGTTCGCAGGCAGGCACTCAATCCACTGAGCCACACCAGGCAGGGGAGAAGTTCTTAATTTACTTGGCCACCTCTGTACTTAGCCTGTTTGTTTCCAGGCTTGCCGGCTGGTTGAGTGCTGTTACATTATGTGTTAAGACTATTCTATTTTGACCTGAAATTATAGTTACGTGGGTGTCTCACTTGGCTCAGGACCCATAGCAAAATACCATAGACTAGGCAGCTTGAGTAACAGGAATTTATTTCTCACAGTGCTGGATGGAGGCTGTGAAGTTCAAGATCAAGGTACCGGCCTAGGTAGTTTCTGGTGAGGGCGCTCTCCATGATGGCCACCATCTCTCATGTCCTCACGTGGCAAAGAGAGTGGACTCCCTGGTGTCGTCTTAGAGTGGCTGTCCCCATCACCGAGGTTCACCACGTGGCCACCTTGAAGCTGACGCTCTCCCCGTGGCCCTGCCCAAGTGGGCCACTGCACTGGGTCAGGGCTTTAGCTAGCGGTTTGGGGCGCCCAGCTCATCCGGAGCAGCGGTGAAGAGAGAGACAGATCGTGTCATCTTTGCGTTCTACCTGGTGTCCCAAATCCTGCGCTTAGGTGCTCAGTGATAGTCACTGTGTGTGTGAGGGCTTCAGTCAGTGTTCAGTTTGCACGTCCGTTACTGGGTAGTGTGTCCATTTTTACCTGGGCATGTTTGCTCCATGAGCTGTGGTTGAACGGCACCAGCTTCAGTTGTGGGTCAGCAGTGGAGCCCGTGCCATGCACAGTGACTTCTCGCGGATGCCCATGCGGTGCGCTCACATTCCCGGGGAGCTAACAGGGCTGTTACCCGGTTCGTTTCAGCAAGCCTGTGGGTTTGAGTATACCTCTAAACTTCAGCGGATGTTTCAGGACATCGGCGTGAGCAAAGATTTGAACGAGCAGTTCAAGAAGCACCTGACAAACTCAGAGCCGCTGGACCGTGAGTACCACTCGCGTGCCGGCCCTTCATGAGCCTGTCCCGAGAGAAGCCTGTGCCCTTCGTGGCAAGCGGGAGAGATGGCAAATAGGAAGGGTGGTGGGTTCTTTATCAGGAATTCAAGGGCAGCAAACAAGTCCCTCCCGGGTGCCCTGCACTCCTCCTGAGTCCTGTGTGACGTTGGAGACGCAGCCTCGGAGCCTGCGGGCCTTTCCTGGGGGCCCGTGTTGCGCTCGGGCGGCAGAGCTGGGGCTGCTGAGCCTGAGTCCTGAGCCCGACTTCTTCCATTGGCTGGCGGGGCATCTGCCAAATCAGGACTGCGTGCAGAGTTCCAGTGAACCTTAGTTCGGGTCAGTTCTAGGTTATTTTTTCTTAAAGCATAAGAAATGGACGGCCATCTAGATGAGCAGGGTCAGGCTAATGCAGAGCATGTGGCCTCAGGTTGGTGCAGGGGGCAGGGCTCCCTCTCGAGGCCTGCGGCTGTGCCAAGATGTGGCGAGAGTCCCCGCATCGTTCTAAATGAAAAACGGCCTTTTCCCAAAGGAAGGGAGCTACCCCGTTGTCCGCCTGCCCACTGTGCAGTGGCCATGTGCTCAGCGGGCAGTGGTGCTGACGGTCGCCGTTTGTGGTGTGAAGCTGAGGCAAGTGAAGAGAGAGGGCCTGTGAGCTCCTCGTTCCAAGTTAGAAGCGAGACGGGAAACTCACTCTTTGGAGGAGAAGAATTTCTGGCTCTCTCACCTTTCACTAGTTTCGATTGATAACTTAATTGAAGTTGGAGTCTTAGTTTTCTATTGAGCGGGCCTTGTCTTGAGTGTGCCTTGAAGGAGCGTTTGCAGGTTCTGAGACTGACGCGGTGCCTTCCCGGTTTGCCCCCGCCCCAGTGGACTTCAGCATCCAGGTCCTGAGTTCCGGCTCCTGGCCCTTCCAGCAGTCCTGCACGTTCGCCTTGCCCTCGGAGGTGCGCGCGCCTCGGCCATCTGCCCACAGGCTGCGGGGGGCGGGGGGCAGGGGCGGGCGCTCTGTGGAGGCCTGCGTGCTGGGCAGCGCCCCCCCAGGCCGGTGTTCACACGGCGCTGCTCTCTCCTCCAGCTGGAGCGCAGCTACCAGCGGTTCACCGCTTTCTACGCCAGCCGCCACAGCGGCAGGAAGCTCACGTGGTTGTACCAGCTGTCCAAGGGCGAGCTGGTCACCAACTGCTTCAAGAACAGATACACTTTGCAGGTAAGGTCACCCTGTCATTTTGGAGTGTTTTCTAAGTCTGAATGAACATAAGACAAATCACAGAAATCAGAATCCAGTGAGTTGCGCAACAGAACCCAGAGCTAAGCTTCTGAGAAAGTGGAGCAGAGGTTAACAAAGCAGCACAGGTCTCGGGAGTCGGAGGAGCTGAGTCCTGGGTCCCCCCGGCCAAGGGACTGGTCACTCAGTGACGACACCGAGCCTCAGCAGTTTTCTCTTCATGACGAGAGGGTGTTGGTGGTGCCTCTGCTTTGGGAGTTGGTGTGGAGATGAAATGATGTGTTAGTAATAAGTGTGTGGTCCAGTCCTGCTGGGCCGTTCTGTCCCGGCGACAAGTGGTCTCACATCTGTGATGACTGTTGGTGTGGCGACGGTGCCACGTGCTGAGTGATAGTGACCTTCAGTCAAGGGCCTCGTCTCAGAGGCTCCTTCTGTGTGACCGCCCGTGCAGGGCGCGCCTCACACCCGTAGCTCTGTTCTCTGAGGACAGTCGCTGGTGAGCGTGTGAAGATGGCCATGGGCCGGTCTTAAGTGCTAGGGAACTTCGGACTGCGTTCCACACACTCACACTCTGCTCCGCACAGTGCCAGTAAGTCTGCTCCGATAAAACAGTTAAATGTGTGATACTGGTTACGCCAGGCCCGCGGGTCTTTGTCAACTTGAGTGTAGAAGCTACACAGTCGACATCCTGTTTTCTTTACCCATCAACCCACCAGAGTCCATGTGCTCGTGCCCAGTGGGGGGCGTGTTGGCCGCACCCTGAGGCCCAGGGAGGGTTCGAGGGCGGGACAGGAACCCACTCTTCCCTGCCTAGTATTTTTATTTAAGATACAAATTTTTTTTCTTTGTTTTTTATTTTGTTGATTTCTTAAGTAACTTTATATAATGGTGTTGAGATATTTTACATGCAATAATACAAGGTACCCATTGTAAGTATGCAGTTGTATTTTTTTTAAGAGTTTTGTTAACGATGTCGGTTTTGTTTTGTTTCAAGGTTTTATTTATTTTTAGAGAGGGGAAAGGAGGGAGAAATAGAGGCATAGAAACATCAGTGTGTGGTTGCCTCTCGAGTGTCCCAGGTACTGGGGACCTGGCCCGCAACCCAGGCCTGTGCCCTGACTGGGAATCGAAGCAGCAACAGTTTGGTGCAGAGGCTGGCACTCCGTCCACTGGGCCACACCAGCCAGCACTTAAGTGTGTGAACTGAGTTTTGGCAGACTGTGTGCATGGGTGGAAGTGCCACCAAGCGAGGGGACATTTCTTTGGGGTTGTTTGGATCTGGGTTGCTGATGAGAGAGGTGAGGGGTATCGTGCCCACCTGTTCGGGAGAAGCCGCGGGGCCCGGCTCCCTCCCGGGCACCATTTCTCTGCTCGGCGGGGACCACTGTCCCTCCGAGGCGGTGACCCAGGCCTGCGGGGCCCTCGACCGAGGGTTGCTGCTCACGGACCTTTACTGTTGCTGAGGACCACGGGAGAGAGGGGAAGGGGTTTCTGTGGGGCACAGCTCTGCAACGGCTGTTCACTGCAGTGCTTTATGCCACAGAGCCTGGTACACGGTTTGCAGAAAGATACACCTGAGCACTGGGGGTTGCTCTGAACCATGTCAGACTTGACACAGGCAAGTGCTTAGGGGAAAAAGAGTCAGTACTAATGCGATACGCAGGTGGCTGTGTCGGTGGTGTACCGACAGGTGCTTCTCTTTGGCCTTTGAGCAAAAACCAATTTGAAGATGGATGCTTAGTGTTTCCATATGTACCAGATGGGTGTGTGTGTGTGTGTGAATGAGTGTGGACACATGTGTATCTACATGGACAAAACCTTCTTTAGGAGAGAATTCAGAATCGTTTTAGTGTTTGGAAAGGTGGGAAGCGTCTTTCGGGAGCGTGTGGCCTGCAGTGGAACCGTGTGCCGTCGGGTGTCCCCGTGTGCTTACCTCTGCTTCTCTCCCGGGTGGGGCCGTGCAGGCGTCCACGTTCCAGATGGCCATCCTGCTGCAGTACAACACGGAGGACGCCTACGCGGTGCAGCAGCTGACGGACAGCACGCAGATCAAAATGGTACCCGCCCTCACCCCTCCGTCCCGCGGGTGTGGGGCGGCCTCGGGGGTCTCGGGTTTGGAGTAGATATCTGCCTGGGAACTTGCTCTTCTGGGGTTTTAATACACACTTTTCAAACTTTAAATTTTTTGTGTGTTTTTATAACACTTTGAGTCAAACTGACTCAAAAATATGTTGGGGAGCAAGATGTCACGTGCTTGGGAGGACCCTAGTGTTGCATCCTCCTTCTCCACATTCGACGTTGGAGGGGGGTGGAGAAAGCCGGGTGGAGACTGGGTGACAGGGTGGCTGGCAGGGTCCGCTGGGCTCTCGGGGTCTCGCACCCTCTTCCAGGACATTGTCACCCCGGCAGGGCTGGCTGACGGCCTTTCCCCAGAGCCGGAGGCCGCGCACCACGACCCGCCCAGGGTAAAGCTCGGGGTCTCCGCGCCCTGCGAGGCCACTGTGCAGAGAGCGCTCTGTGGAAGGCGCGCTCGGCCTGGTGTGCGCCACGCGTGTGCACACGCACGTAGATGCGCCTCATGCTCTTCCCACTCGCGTGGCCCATTCTTCACCCCACCCCCGCAACAGTGTTCTTACTGCTGAGCTTAAATCTTCACTTAATATTGCTCTTCCTGTGGGTCTTTTTTATTGAGACGTATTTCACATAAAACTGCGCACGTTTGAAAGTCTGCAGTTGAGTTTTCCACAAAGGTGTACAACCACCACCACCGCTCCACCGCTGTCCCAAACATTGTCATCACCCCAGGAGGAAACCCAGTCCCACCCCGGCCCTGAGGTCCACGGCCCTCTCCCCGTCTCGGGGTGTGCCTCCCGCACACGGAGTCCGTCACGTGTGGCTTTCCACGTCTCCTGCCTTTTTTCACCCACCACGTTCATTCGTGTTGGGGCGCAGATTCCCGTTTTCTTCCTTTTCGGGGCTGAAGTATATTCCAGGGTGTGGATGGGCCACGTCACGCTCATCCACTCACTTGTGGGCGGACGGCGGGTTTCGTGGGCGGGTCGTTTCTGCCTTTCGGTCGTCACAAACAACGCTGCAGTGAACACCCCCGTCCAGGCTTTGGTGAGGACGTGTCTTCGGGTCCCTGGGGTACGTGCCGAGGTTGGGGAACGTCTGGGTCAGGATAGCATACATCTGGCTTTCCAGGGGCCGCCAGGCTGCTCCGGTGGCCGCCCCTCTGTCCCCTCGCCAGCAGTCCCTGTTCCCTGCTCTTCCAGCCAGACGGGCGGGCGGGCGCTCGTTGCCGCGTCCGGTGGCATTGTTGAGGGCGGGTGACGGTGAAGACCCTCCCGTGGCCGTCTGTGGTCACCTCTGGAGACGTGCCTGTCCACGCCTCCTGTCCACCTTCCGACCGGTGGCCTGCCCCTGCCGTTGCGCGGGGAGGCGCCTGTGCCTGTGCGTTCTGCAGCCAGGCCCTCGCGGGACGCGGGACGCAGAGCTCTCCTCTAGTCCGTGGGCTGTCTGTCCGTCCCCTTCCCACACGCGGCTGTCATGTTCATGGAGTCCACTTCGTGTTTTCTTGTGTTGTGTTTCGGCGTCATATCTAATCCAAGGTCAAAGACTGTCCCTTCCCTCTTGATTGTGTCACCAACCCTTATGGGTCCAGGACTCCAAAATGAGGTCCTCCTGCCATGTGTCACACCGATAGAATGAGCCCGTGTTCTGGAAAGCGAGCGGAAACTTGGCTCTTGGGTCAGGGAGTGCAGAGGGGCGAGCTCACGCTCCGGGACACCGCTCTGCTTGGCAGGAGGTGGGCAGGGGGTCCGGTGCGCTCAGAATTTCTGGGGAGCGCGCCTGGCTATATGTCACATGTTTCTGCCCAGGGTGTGACGATCAGCATGTAATGAAGGAAGCCGTGTCCGTGGGTCCCTGGGGAGGGGTGTCGGGCACCATCCTGGACCTTTTCCCCGCGGACCAGATTCTTAGCTGTGGTCCTGGGGTTCCTCGCCTACTGGGTGCCGACGGGCTTAGCCCGCCTTGGCGTGTCCGCCCTTCCTGACAAGTGCAGCCGGGTGGGGGGGGGGCGGGTACTTGCAGAGCAAGGGAAGGGAAGCCGAGCCCCGACCCTTGTGGCTCGGCTGGTGTCGTCCTGCAAACCGGCGTGGGCGTGCGTCTCGGGCTCAGTCCCCAGTTCGGGTGCGTTCTAGGGGCGACAGAAGGAGATTTCTCACAATGTTGTTTCTCTCCCTCTCCAAGAAAAAATAAAATCTTTAAAAGAGAGAAAAGTATAGACAAAGTCAGTAGCAGTTGAAGGATTAACTGGGGCTGTGGCAGTGTGGCCTGGTGGCAGCTGGTGCAGACGGCGGCGTCAGGACCAGCCGTCCTTACACGTGCGGAGTCTTCTGGACTCCCGCCCGTCTCCGCCCATCTGTCTGGTGTCATCTCCACGCCGCTGCCGCATGGGCTCCGTTACTGTTGTTCCGTGGTGAGTTTCGACATCGAGGCTCCAGCTCGGTTCTCAGGCCCCCGTTCGCTGTGCCCGGGCCCGTCCGTTTCCACGTGAGTCCCAGTTAGCGCGTCCAGCACCTCGGGTCAGGCGGTGGCTCCCCTGTGTCCCCCGTGTCCGGCTGGCCGTCTGCAGTCCTCTTGGCCGCCGGCGGAGGTTCCCAGCGTGCTGCTCCCGATGGCCCTGCGGCTCAGTTGATTCCTCGCCACTTCGCGACGCTGGTCGGCGGGTGTCCTGTCTGGTGGGTGTCCTGTCCGCTGTGGGTGGACAGCAGCACAGCCAAGTGCCGCCAGGTGGCCTTGTGCCCTGTGCCCGGCCGCACCCGCTCGGCAGCATGAGGCTTTCTGTGGACTCCTTGGGGCTTCTTTTTAATGTGCAAATACACGTCAGCTGCAAACAGAGCTGTGCTCTTCCTCTCCTGTTCGGGCATCCATCCTCTCGCCTGCCGGCTCGGGCGGGCGTCATCAGACGGCGGAGGCCCCGCCGGTTCCAAGTCGGCTCTGAGTCTTCCCCAGGAGAGCACTGGCCTGCAGGGCGAGTCCCGCTCTGTTGCGGCAGCTGTGATCGGTTCCTTGTGTCAGGCCGTTGCCTTCTTGGGATACGCCCCATGTGGCCGTGGCACTCGGTGCTTTTTGTATTTTGCTGGGATTTTCAGCCTCTGTAGTCCTAAGGTGTACGGGGTGGCCGTTTTCTGGGGACGTGCTGGCCTGGCCTTGGGTCTGGGTAAAGCTGTCTCACACAGTGCGGGTTAGGCCTCCAACACGGCCCTGGACACGCCTTCAAATCCCAGTGACAGAACGAGTTTGCTCTTTCTACAGAAGGGTCTTGTCTCCGTCCCCTCCTCCCATCTGAGAGGGTGCTGGGGCGCGGTGGAGGCGCGGCCACCCCAGGCTCCACGGACACCCGCCCTCCACGCTGACGCACACACTGGGGTCTCAGCCAACGTTCAGTGGGGGACTGGCCCTGGTGGGGACATGCTGGTCTCCCCACACACACGATGGGCACCGGCTGCTCGGTCCAGTCTGGCTCGGGATGTGCCTGTCACGCCTGCTCTGGACTTGGCCAGCCGTGTTCTGGTGCTGCTTGGGCTTCAGGGCAGGTCACTTCGACAGCTTCAACCCTGTACCGTGAACCAGATGGTGCCCCGAAGACAAGGGCAGGCCCTTGCAGTCTCTGCATCCGTCCGTCCGTCCGTGGGTGAGGCGCTGGGTGTGGAGGAGTCCAGATTCCGTGCGAGTCGCCAGGTGGTGCTCTCTCCTTTCCTGGGAGCAGGAAGCCGTGAGGCCCCGGGGAGAATGCAGGGACCCACCGCCCACTGTTGGTGGAGAGGGGCCGACGCCCCAGGGCCGCGCAGCATACTAAGCAGTCACCAAAGGCAGGTGGACAGCGGTCACCGCCTGAGCCCCATCGCGTCCGTGGACAGAGCGTTCTTCCTGGCCCTGCCGGAACACCCTCACACCTCCTCCATGGACCCGTGTGCTGGAGGCTGTCGGGCGTCTGAGTGGACCGGTCGCTGTTGGTTCAATTCGGGGAATCGGCCGGGCACGGTCCCCGATCCTGACGTGCACCAGAGTCCTCGGCTGTCGCTGTTGGGCGACTGAGGCTGAAAGAGGGGGCGCCACTTCCAGACAAAGGTGTTGGGGGGACACAGTGGGTTTAGAGAACCTCCTAAAGCACCATCTCTTTCCTCTGAGTTGTCGGTTTGGGTGACGTTTTTCTGGGGAAGAAATGAATTATGGGGTTGCCTGTCGTTTTTATTGCAGAGAAAACTGCATTTTCTCTTTTTTTAATTTAGCCTTTTCTCTCTAATTGCAGGACATTTTGGCACAAGTCCTACAGATTTTATTGAAATCAAAGTTACTGGTATGTTTGTGCCCTTTTTATGTGAAGTTACAGAAGGCCTTTTTGTGCGGTATGTGGTGACAGCTGTCTCCTTACAGGTCTTGGAAGACGAAAATGCAAATGTCGACGAGGTGGAACTGAAGCCAGATACCTTAATAAAATTATACCTTGGTTATAAAAAGTAAGGAAACCAGCTGACCAGGTGGCCCCCCGCCCCGGGGCCCATGCACCACTGTCGCTGCAGACAGCGCAGGGTGTGGGCAGGGCTTGTGTGTGGCCTCGGGGGTCACGTGACACTTGTAGGTGTTTCTCCATCCAACTGTCTTGGGTTTTGGTTTTTTTCTATGGGCAAATAAGTCTCCTTAAACAGTTCACTCCGAAGTTCGGACCTCTGTGCCCCAGTGTCGGGATTCGTTTCTCCTGACACGGTTTGAGGGAGCCAGTGGAGGGCCGGCCGAGCGAGGGCCGGCTCGCCGATCCCGGGTGGGGGCTACCCCCGCCCTCCGCCCTCCCCACCTGCCTCGCCACACGACAGTGCCTGTCTCCTTGGCTTCCTTGACAGTAAGAAGTTAAGGGTTAACATCAACGTGCCCATGAAAACCGAGCAGAAGCAGGAACAAGAAACCACACACAAAAACATCGAGGAGGACCGAAAGCTGCTGATTCAGGTGACTGGCGTGTCCTTCCCTGCAGGGGCGTGTCCCTCCCCGGCTGCGGCCTGTGAAACAGCTGCGGGAGCACGTCAGCGTCAGGGGGCGGAGCTCGGATGCGAGGGGAGGGGCCTGTTTGACGCGGCTTCTGCGGCTGGGAGACTGGCCTTCTCTCCTTTTCTTTAAATGCTCCGTGGTTGGGTTGTTAGAATTGCCCTGAAGACCACACGTGGGGTGGGTGGGTAGCACTCGCCGCCCTCCCGCCTGCAGTGGGCTGCCTGGGAGGACCTGGCCGCTCGGTGGGCGTCAGGGGTAAGTTGCTCGTTCTGCCCTGCCCCACAGGCAGCCATCGTGAGGATCATGAAGATGCGGAAGGTCCTGAAGCACCAGCAGCTGCTGGGAGAGGTGCTCACACAGCTGTCCTCGCGGTTCAAGCCGCGGGTCCCAGTCATCAAGGTACAGGGCTCCCGTGACAGGCGCTGGGTGGACTGTTTTAGAAAAGGTGGAACTAGGGGCGGGTCTTTCCCGAAGAGGGGCCTGCTTACTGATGGGCAGTGGCTACAAGAGAAAACTGACTTTATTTTAAAATTTCCACGGACGTCCGGAGAGGAGTGCAGAATCGTAAGTGCGCAGCTAGCTGGTTTCCTCCCGTGCACACGCTGGGACCCCCGACACCCCTGCAGAGTGAGGCGGCCACATCAGCGCGGAACTCTCCGAACCGCAGTTCCCGTTGTGCTGACCTCGCGTTAGTTGCCATGTGGGGACTCCCCGTGGCCACCACTCAGCTCCTCTTTGGCTGGGGTGGTTTGAAGCAGAAGCAAAGTGGCTTTCTCTCCTGGGGCCACTGGGCAGACGACAGCCAGCGCAGAGGTGCCCTGGCGAGTGATTCCCGGTAGCGTCGGGGCCACTCTCGCAGCCAGAGTGTCCCACGCCCGTTCCCTACTCCTGCGGAGGGTCCTGGGCGGCCCCACGCAGGGAGACGGCCTCAGCCACAGGCCGACAGATCCATGGGGGGACCGCGCTCCCGCCGGATCTCCAAGGTGGGGATCCGTGGTGAGGGTGCCGAGCTCTGCTGGGGTGATGAATGTCTCTCTCCACTGCCTCTTCCTTTTCACAATGACGCGCAGAAGTGCATCGACATTCTGATCGAGAAAGAGTACTTGGAGCGAGTGGACGGGGAAAAGGACACCTACAGCTACCTGGCTTAGCCCTCGGTGGAGGGGCAGACCGTGCCGCCGCGGACGACCGCGTCCCCAGCAGCTGCCACCCCGGGGGCCCTCCTTTCCGACTGGGACCGAGACCCCCTCGGCCGGCCAGCTGTACATCAGAACCGCTCAGGATCGACACATTTCCAGTCTGTAAATAAGGACACCGATGCCATTTAACCCAAGTTAGGAACAGAGGGGACGCACCTCCCGTGCTGAGGGCTGCATGCTACTGCATTTCAATCCACCCACTGGCTGCGTGCGCGCCGCTGCCGGCCCGCAGCGCCTCGGCGTCGGCAGCGCTCCGACCGGAGTCTGGACGGACCCGCGTGTAATCTGCTCGGAAAACCATTTGTATAGTGTGTTTCATTTTTTAATGTGTGGAAATAAAGAAAATTAAAGGATTTCTGTACAAGTTGCATTTGGTTTTGTTTTCAGTTTTACTAATTTCTGTATGTAAATATAAGGTACAATGATTGTGCAAAATTTACATTCCCAGTGTTTTCTGTAGCCTAACAGGCTGTATTCTTTAGACTGAATTCTTTTTAAGATCTTAAAACTTTAATCCCCTTTGTAAATTTTTCCCCCAGAAAAGGGGGCTCATTTCTGTGCCTTCCTCCAGTGACGCGTTGATTCCACATGAACTGTTGCCCCTCTGACCACCTGTCCTGGGAGACAGGCCCCCTGCTCGCCGCAGGTGGGGAAACTGGGGAGAAGGCACTTGGCCCCAGTGACTGGAGGCCCTGGGAGGGCCGCGGGCAGCCGGCTGCGGCTGGGAGGTGCTGTGGGGCCCGGGGCTCCTCCATTTAAAACACAAGAAGCCACAGTTCCAGACGGATTCGGGCTGCTCCTGGGGAACTCCCGGGATCCCAGCCAGCAGCACAAGTCCCCCATGGTCCCTGACTGAGGGGCCTCTGCATCAGGACCACCCTTCGCTCTCAGGCATCTGCTGGTGAGTTGGCGTGTTCTGGGCCGGGTGCCCCCAAGGGTAACTGTTCCCGGCGTGCGGGCCTGGGTTCTAGCCTGCTTGTCCCCTAACAATTCCTCTGTTCTCTGTCTGCAGTCAGCCCCATGGTGGACACGTCACGACACTCGCTCTCCAGCCGGAAGACACACGGAGCCGGGAGCAAGGCCGCCCAGGCAGGCTCCCGCAGGTCCGTTTTCCTCCTGAACCTCAAAGTCCCAACAGAGAAGGTGGCACAGCCAGAGAAGCACACAAGGATCCAGTTCTTAGGGGTTTCTTGGAGCCGTCTGGCAGGTAACGGGTTTTTTTAGAGGTTTAAGAAAAGTTACAGGGTAGAAACAGTAAGAGTAATAAAACTAAGCATTTAGGTAATGGTTTGCGCTTATTTATAAATACCTTTCTCAAATGATTCCCAGAAGAAAGGGTGACCACCCAGGGACGCTGCCCTGCCCTGCCCCCACCACCCTGAGGGCCCAGGGCCCCCCGACTGAAGGGGAAGCAAGGCCACAGCACACCTTTCCTCCCTGCGGCTCCTGTACCGGCCTCCGGGACAGGTACAACCAGGAGCCACGACCAGAACTTGGGTCGAGCCCAGGTGTGGGGGTGGGAAGTCCATTCAGTGACATCCTGTGGCTGCCCTTGAGTCCCTCCTGGACCAGAGTGCCCTGGGGTCAGCCCCTCGGCCAAGTGAGGATGCTTGGAACAGGCGGCCACGGACCGGGTGGGCGACCGGGCTGTCCCTGTGCCTGCCCCTCCCCCTCAGGCATCTGTGCCGCCTCACGGGGGGCAACTCGCAGCTCTTTCACTTTACTCCCCAGAGTAGGTCCTCACCGAACAAGGATGGTCAGGAGCCCCCACAGCAAGCCAGAGGGTCGAGTGCCCTGCGTGCCTGCCTGCTGAGACGTGGGGAGAGAGACGCACACGGAGTCTCCTCGGGAGGCCCGGCTGCTCTGAACTCCCCCCCAGCGCCTTCCCCACGGAAGGCCGGCCTGGGCGGGACCTGTGACCAGCCCTGTGGGCGCACTTCCCCTCACCCAGGGGCAGACCAGGCGAGGAGGACCTTCCCCCAGTGAACGCTGGCCGACAGCCAGAGTCAGAGGCCTTCTGGGCACGGGTGGGACCGCAGGCCTGGCCTCTGTGGGGACATGGTGAGGACAGCGAGACGCTGGCCCAGTGACCAGTGAGGGTAGACCGCTGACACGGGAACAAAGCAGCACCTGGGACTGGAAGCACCTGCGCTGACGGGTCAGGTCAGTCCAGTACGACCAGCCTCGCTGCTGGACACGGGAACTCGGGGTTTCACCACACACAGGTGAAGAAGACCCGCTGCCGGAGCCATTCGAGTGGACCTGCTGCTGAAGACTCCTCCTCGCAGCCCCTCCGCTGAGCGCCGGCTCCAGGCGACGCCCTTAACATCGCTTTTGGTCGCCCCGGGCTGAGCAGGTGGTGACTTCATCATGGCGGTGAGTGGACTCTTCACACGGCTTTGGGGGGATGGGGAGTATTCGCACACGACTGCCTGTCCGTGGTGACTGGAGCCCCCGGGGCCGGCAGCGGCAGGGGCTAGGGCCTGCCAGCTCCTTCCTGCAGAGGCCGGTGCTCCCCGGGGACCCTCTCTTGCCCACCTGTCTACACGTCTGTGTGCTGCGGCCCGAGCGTGGGGCAGGGGCAGCACCCGGGCGGCTGGAGGCACCGACAATAGTGAGAAATAATTAAGCGGCAGTTTCTGGGTAGGTGAGTATAATTGATATTTGAAAATAGGAATTACAAGATACTGATTGAAGAGAATGGGGACAAGTGGAACAGTGTCATTCATGGTGCAGAGGCTGGTCTGCGGGCCAGGTGCTGGGGTTAGGGCTGCTAGAGCTGCGGGTGGTCTTCACGGGGTCTGAGGGGAGACCTGAGGGGCCGGCTGGGCAGATGGACCGACTGCACGCGGCAGCGCGTCCCCAGCGGTGCCGCCGGAGGTTGAAAAGTGCGCAGTGTCCGATTGTTCCAGCAGGGGCACTGACCGCTCTTCATCTGGGCTGCCAAACTGAAAAGTAACAGCCAACACGCTAAATAGCTGTCAGGGTGTGAGTGGATCAAAATTGCTTTTTTTTTTCCCGGTCAGATCGGCAAAACTATGTTTTCTGGCAAGCCACAGAGTTCTAGTACTGGGTTTGTGCCACAAGGTGAAAATGGTTGAAAACTCCTGGTGTGCGGTCATGGGGGGGCCGTACAGGAAGGAGGGGAAGCACACCGCTGTTCAACGTACCTCTGTGTCGTCCAACACGTTTTATCTTCCTTAATTGGGTATTTGAATACCTTACATCTTAAAGGAAAGTCTGAAGTGCCCAGCCAGGTCCCCACAGGACGGAGTAGGTGTCTGTGTGCGCTCCTGTAGCAAGTGTGTCAGGAAGAGGCGCGTGCCAGCCAGGGCACAAAGAGCTCGCTGTGCGTTACAGTGACGGCTCGTGTGCTGGGCGCTGCCTTCGGTCTGGGGTGTGTGCGGGGAGCGGAGCGTCCTGGGTGGAGGCCAGGTGCTGCCTCCCAGCCATGTGCACCTGGGGCGGCTGGACGAGGCCGGAGAGCAGTGGGGGAAGGGCCGGTGTCACAGAGGCCACCGGGCTGCACATCTCGGGGGTCCTGGGCACCCAGGGTGGGCGGTGTAGAACTGAGTGTGCCGGAGACGAGCGTGTGAGGGCTCGTGTCAGTGTGCCGGGAGGCGCTCCTGTGACTTGGGGGAGGTTTTCTGTCTGTTGGGGGTTTTCCCCCAGACCCTCTGCAGGAAGCTAGAAAACTGGCTTGTGGACACCGCCTTCTGTGGCTGGGTGGGGACACGGGGATGCTTGCGAAGGCGAGTGCCCAGACTGAAGAACTTGGAGCGCCCCGAGGCCGTCGTCCGGCTGCGGGTGGAGGCTCCTGGGTCACTGGCCCGGCTGACCTCGCCGCCCGTCCCTGGTCCCCGGATGCAGGTTCTGTTACTTGCGTAGTAACAGTATTAAGTGTAACTCAGCAAAATACACAGTACCACATGTGTGTGTTACACACTTAAGTTGAGGTACAAGTAATACAAGAATGAACTTCTGTGAAAGTGGTGACTCGTGACTATACACCCGTGTTGCCAGCCCCCCGTGTTCGACGCGCAGTGTTGTGATTAAGCGAAACCGAAGGCCTGCGGTGTGAGCGTTCCCCCCCTCAGCAACAGACCTTTCTAAACCAGCCGAGGCAGAGCTTCAAGTATTCTTTATTCAAAGTTGAAAAATGTACCACACTGCATCATCGCAAAAACTCACTGGTACAAAAAAAACACTTTGCAGCTGGTGAGAAGGCAATAAAAAGTTGATTTTTAAACTCATTACTATAAATTATTCTTACAGTACTTTGCGAATTCAGAATTTCAAACTGCATTTTCCTTTTCCACATCGCCCACAGTACTCGAGGGTCCTGAAGCTGAAGGCAGCTGCTCCGGAGGAGGGGGAGGTAGCAGACGTCAAGGGATCTCCATCTCCCGTTCGATGCCCACGTACTTGAGCGCGTCGGCCTGGCTGTACCTGAAAGGGCAGGAGACAGGCATGGCCGCAGCCCGTGCAGGTGAGCGCGAGCCCAGCCACCCACTCACTACACGGAAAGGCACACACGCCCAGTGTCTCTGGTACTGTCCCACCTGTGCTTTCAAAGTGACAACATGTGGGCCCCAGTTCATAAACAACACAGAGCTTCTGAACAGGACCAATGCTCAGCCACGGGGTTCAACCAGACGGGCGTCTGACTGCCTTTAAGTAAGTGGTAGGAGGCAGCTTGTTAGTCTGACCCTCAGCCCGATGCTTAACAAACCAGGGGCCCTGTGTCCTCAGCTTTCTTGAGCTGTCACGGAGACCCCGAGTGTCACCACTGGGGAGAACATCGGCCAGTACCGGTGTCTCAAGTCCGCCTGCACTGAAACATCACAGACAAGCCTGGCACACCCTCACAACCTGCAGTGTGCCCACACCCAGCCCCTGCATCGAGGTGGAAAAATGGGGCCTGCATGCTTTTCCTGTTTTTAAAAGAACTGGTGCTTGTATAATGGGAACTATATCCTCCAACTCCTGCCAAGGCAAAGAATGACCCAAAATTAGTCCCTCCAACAACACAAGGCCCAGCGAAGAGCAGAAAGACAGCCTCTGTCCCAAGTCCAGGAGGAAAAGCCCTCGGGTTTATACCAGAGCTGCCCTGCTACTGACCTGTAATCAAAAAACAGCTCCTCTCCAGTCTGGATGGCTCTCTTCGCAAAGATGCCTATCCTGTGGTCACCGTTTACCATCATCACTGCAAGGAGACACGCTGGGGTCAGCAAGGGAAGGACACCAGCACGCTAGGACAGATTTACTGTGTGACTTCAGGAAGCCTGAGTCCAGAAGCACCTACCTTTTGCATAGCAATTTGGATTGACTGAATGATTTGCAAAACGGATTTTGTTACCCTTGCGGGTTGCATCCACCACAAAATCTGAAGAAAAAATGAGCACAATGCAGTGAACAATTGCAGTTTTAGATCGATCAACAATAAGTTACTACGATCCTGGAGGTGCTCGGGGTTTGCCTTCAAAAGTAAATCATGCAGCCAACATCACTCAGTAGGAAACGATATTTGTAAGAAACTGCTGTTCTAGGTAAAGTTAATTGTGCTAATTCAGGATAACTGTCTCTCAAATACTGTTACCTAACTGTAAATATGTATTAGCCAAATATTGCAAAAACATGGAATCTGAGAAAAGTAAGTTTTGTAGCTACAATTAATCTATTCTGTTCACAGAAAACACTATCCTCGGTGCAGCCAAGGGTCACTGAAACACCTCGGGTACAAGACGCCTGCTCTTCATCACAGATCCCACACCCACTGGGGAAGCAGCGTCCTTCAGCCCCTGCTCCTAGTCCTCCAGCGGCGCCCGGAGTGTGGGAGAGGCTCCGAAACACCCCAGGGTCAGAGGCCAGCACTGAAGGAAGGGCACCCAGCTGGCTGGAGACCCCAGCATCTCGTGTGGCTCAGAGGCCACATCCCTTGAACCAGACCTGCTCTGCCACAAAGAGGTTCCCCGCAAGTGACAGCAACAGCCCACGCCTGCGTGGCACCTCAGACGTACCGTTGTTCAGGTTGAAGAGAAAGCTGCACATGTACTTGTCATACACTTTCCCTCTTCTGTCGGCTTCATCTTGAGAAATTATCTGAGGACAAGACGGCGCCACGTTAAAGCCGGGCAGGGGCGCACTGCTCAGCAGAGCTGGCCCGTCCATCAGAGGACGACGGACTTAAGGACTGCAACTCGGAAGCACTTCCCCATCAAAGGAAGTGGGCTTTGGAGAAAGGGATTAATTTAAGGAGCCCCTTTTCTACGAACAGGCAATGCAAACCACCGTGCGTTTTCAGTGACTCCGCAACGGAACAGCCCAAGATAAATGACACTCACTGCTGGGTCCGTGAATGAGGCTGCAGGTGAAGTAGGACAGACTCCTCCCCTTCCCTCCTCATCCCCAGAGAAAGCTACATGTGACCAGGCCTGAAACAGCCCCTCTGGGCGTGCCCAGGGTGACCACCCGCTCCGGCCTTACCTCCCCACAGTACTCCGAGATGAACTCATTCTTCTGGACAGGGTCTTTGATGAAGATGCCCCAGCCTGCCACGTCGGACGGCGCCAGCAAGAGGTGCTAGAGAAGGGAGCACAGCTGTCGAGTCTGACCAAAGCCGAGCGGCCTGCCGACCCTGGAGACCGCAAGGCGAGTGTGATCCTCGGACCCCTGCAAGTCAGCCAACCAGACGCCACCAAGTGCCTTGACTTCAGGGCCTGAACTGAGGGGTCAGTGCCCCCCCCCAACAAACTGTAAGACCTCACTTTGGATTTTGTGAATAAACTAAAAGTAAGCTTTACCTCTCCCCAAAACCAACCGTGGTGGCACCTGGCCCTCTGACGGCCGCCCAACAGGGCACCCGCGAGGGCTGCCTTTGCACTTCCTGCCCTTTCTTCAGCCTTTGACCCCCTTAATGATTCACTTCCAGTGTGAACTTCACACGAGGACGCCAAGTCTGCCTGTCTCCATACCTCCTCACACCAGCTCCTCCACTTCCCGTTCAGGCCCCTGGCTGCATTAGCTCCCTGCGGCGGAGCTCAGCTGTCCCTGCACTGCAGCTCCTCAGAGACAGCCCAGAGAACTGCCAGGAGGCAGAGGCACATCTCGCCAGCCCAGCATTCCGCTCTCAGCAAATGCCAAGATGACGAACAAGGCCAGTTCCAGGTTAGTGTGCATCAGGCACAAACCCCTCACTCTGTGCCAGGTTCACTATGCCGCAGTCCTCCCAAACTCCCTTACGTCCTTTAGCAAGTCCCCGATCACCCACGCTCCCAATCTGTTCTTACTCTAATCCAGCCCCGACGCCCATCAGGGGACTTCTGAAACAACTCCCTGAGTAGAAACTAAATTAGCTAAAGAACACTGTGAAGCTGTGAGGCAAATGAAACCCAGTAGGTAAGACAGTATTATCTACAGCTGTTTTCTGAGCGCAAAGGCGTGCCAGTGTGAAGAGCTGACCGCAAAAGGTGAGTGTGGGGTGGGGGAGTTATGGTGGGATTCTAGGGCTCATCATGGGTATGCCACGCAAAGCTGTAGTGCGTCACTGTGACAGAAGGACCTCGATGGACGTTAACTACCCCGAGAAAAGCCGTCCAAACACTTGGCAACATCAGAGCCAAAAATCAAGCCACTGCCAGAACCAGAACTCCTGGGGGCAGGGCTTCCGGCCGCACGGTGCATACTCTCCACCTCCTCACAGACGCCGGGCTCCCTGCCCCAGGACACGGGGCCGACGGGGATGCTGCCTCCGGGAGCTACGAGCACTGACGAGTTAACACCCGGCACTTCACCCCAGTGCTGACTAAATGGTAAGTAATAAACACCAGCTGCTGTTATAAAAATGACTAATTGAAATGCACTGTCTACCCTAAAAAAGCAAGACACGAGTGCACATGGGTGGTGTCCTCTGCTCAGCGGTCACTACAATTAAAAATCACCTGCCTGCAGCCCCCAGTTACATGGTTCCCAGCTTTGATGTTTCCAAGGTTATTAAAGGAACAAACCCTGCAAAACCACTGGGAAATTCATCTCGCTCTGCACAAAAGGGAAACTTGGTTACCATATGACTAGTTCCATTAACTAAACTTAAAAAGAAATTCAGTGTTGGCTGGCCTGGCTCAGTGGACTGAGTGCCGGCCTGTGAATCAATGTGAATATTGATATTTCTCTTCCTCCCCTTTCCCTTTGTGTAAAATGCATAAATAGAATCTACAAGTCATCTACTAGACAACTAGAAAAAAAATATCACTTACTCCAAATGTGAACCCAGTACTGGCACCTCTCTGAGCCTGGGAAGCTGGTCCCTCCTACCCTACAGTGGACAGGCTGCCCCCTGCCTGCACCCCCACCCGGTGGTGGCACCTTTCCCGGCCACGCCCCCCTGGCCCTACCTTCTTGGAGCCCCGCTGGATGCTGCAGTTCTTGCAGGACACGTTCTTGCTGTCCCAGTGGTCAGCAGCCCCGCAGGTCAGACACAGGTCGGGGTCGCACTCCCGCACAGCCAGGTAGCAGGGGCACTGCTTGGTGTTGCACTGAGCTTTGCAGCGGCAGCCGGGGAAGCGGTTCTGACCTGCAGAGACCGTCTCTGCCGTTACTGTCACGAGACGGCGCGGAGCCCTCACAGCAGCCTCCCTGTCCCGCTGCCCCCGAGGAGAAACGTCACACGTGCCTGAGCTTCACGGGTGGTTTCATTCAGTAGAAAGAATCACCACCCTGATGACCAGCTCCTCTGTGCTGAGCACTGAACCCTCCAACTCGGACAGTTCCCGGTGCCCGCAAAGTACCTGGGTTGCTGCTCCTAGATTCCCCTTACATTCTGGGCCAGCGTTACTATGATTTAACTTAAATCACCAAAGAAAAACAGCTCCTTTCATCCCGTTTTGCATAACCTGTCGTCATGACACGTCCACCAGGACACTGGCTGGACACAGGTGCTGGGGGTGCCCCGCACTCTGGATCTCCCCCAAGGAAAACCTGCAGGAGCTGCTGTGTCAACTTTTTTACTCGCTATTTTAACTCTCATGCAATGGCATTAAAGCAACAGATACTTACACTCTGAACTACACTGACAAAACTTTTCACAAAAATTCTGTGCTATCACACAAGGGCACGAACTGTCGCAAGGCTGCCGTGGATGGTCACAGGGTTGGTAGTTGTAAACATGGTTGGAGGAGCCGTCTGCATCAAGACAACAGCGTGCAGGTCAGTTGGCAGTCGGAGGGGAACACGCACATGAGCGAGAACACACCCCACCTCCGTCCCCGGAGTGCAGCAGGCTTCCTGCCTGGTGCCCAATCCTGTCCACGCGACAATGGCCTGAGGCACCTCCCACCCCCTGCCAAGTGCTGGGAAAGCTGGGGCGCGGTCCCCACATCTCGGGTCACCAGAGTGCTACTCTTTTAACCACCAGAGGACTGGCTGGCAATATACTCAACAGACACCCTCCATGCATCAAAGTACCCTCAACTCTAGCCCAGCCACTACTCTGACACATTACAGACATCTTCGGTGCAGGGGCTGGGGGGTGGGCAGGAGAAAGGCACTGACCTTTTTTCAGCTGTATCTTCCTGCAGTGAGCAGCCCACAACCTGCAAGACAAAGAAGCAAACGGTCTTCTCCAGGAAGCGAGGGCACATGGCGGGCACAGGAGCTCCTGAAACAGGACCATCTGTGCCAGCAACAGGGCCGTGCCTTCCATCCGAGTGCCTGAGAGAAGGGTCACACAGTCCAAGCTTGTGTGTGCCAGGTTGCAGTGACCACCAGGCCCCGCTGTGGGCCAAGAAGCCCTTCGCAAGCACACCATCAGGCCTGGGGCGGCCAGGCCCTCCCATGCAGGCCAGTCTGCCTGCTGGGCTCGTGCTGAGGCAGGTGACACTGGCCTACGTGGTCAGATCATCCAACCAGAAAACCCGGGAGGCACTGCTAAAGCCTAACGCCTGCGGGAAGACTGCTACGCCACTCCCCGACCCAGCACCCACCTCTGCTTCTCTCCGAAAAGCCGGGAGGGGGGGGGGGGACTAAAGCTGGCAGACCAGCCACGGCCTGCTCCTTCTGCACCTACAACCAGGTCACCTCACCACGCACAGCCACAGGCTTCGGGAAAGGGGACAGACCCGCGGCCCAAGAAGGTCTACCACCAGTGCGACCACCACACGCCTGGAAGGTTACGGCTCCTCATAAACCAGCTCAGGTCACCGCTCCAAGATTCACACTCAGGAAGACCTCTCAGAACAAATTCTGTGCAGCCTCGCCTGCAGAAGCTACTAGGTCCGTCTCGACTAAACACAGCAGAGCGAGCTTACTTCGTCTGGCTCTTACACCAGGTCTGCTGACGCTGCTGCGTTCTAGTGGAGACTCGTACCTGCACTGCCCGTGGAGACTCCACCTCTGTTTCTATGGCTAGCCTCCGCCCTGGGTCACACACTCAGCCCACAGCGTCCTGGCGCCATCTGGGAACGGCCGCAGACACTTACCGGTGTTTCCTCTTCTTCTTCCTCGGAGGAGTGTCAACATCTTCGGCGGGCACTGGAGCTATGATACTGGACTCTTTGACCCGAAACTCATACACCTGACGAGAGGCACAGTCGCAGCTGTGAGGCCCATCAGGGTGAGCAGACTTACAGCCTTACACTGGTCCCCACCAGAAACACCTGTCCCTGCTGTGACGCTGTTGGGGACAACAGAGCAGACGCTGTCCCAACCCTCAAGCAGCTTCGATGACATTATGGTAAATATGGTCAAGAGTCCCAAGGCTCAATCTAGACTCTTACTGGCTTTCTCAGTCCATTGTCACCTAGCCTGAAACAGCTAAAGGCTGAAATCAGTTTACCCCCAGTAAACAAACTCCTTTCCAGGAGACAGACAGAAGGCATCAATAACCGAGAGAGGGTTGCCTGTGCTCCCCATCTCTGAAGCTCTTCAGACCTGCTCACCTGTCTGCAGGTTTTGGTCCCGATCAACCTGGCGATGGCACAAAAGTTGTCGTAGTAGGTGCCGATGAGGACCCGGAACATGGAGGCCTCGGCCCCGCTCCACTCCACATTCTCCGGGGGCTCGCTGTTCGGCTTCATCTTCACCGGAGTCTGGCACCGAGAGTTCGCTTCTGCAAGGCCAGGTCAGTAAGCATCAGTGAGGAGGGGGGACCAGAGAGCAGTGCACTCAAGCAGAAAGCGGAAGTGAGTCACGCTGAGAACAGGCTGGGGCTACAAAGTCACCACGCCGTCACATGGAACCAGGGAGCCTGGGCTCCTTCCCCAAGGAAGGCGAACGGGCTGCCCTCCTGTTGTTTGTGTTTAAGCCGCAGAGCATACAGGCACCTAAACTCTAGTCAGGACAGCAAGGACACTAACCGGAGTGGCCTGCACCTCGTGGCGCCCTGACCGAGAACAATGGAAAAGATGGCACAGTGGACAGGAATGGCAGCCCCGAACCTCAGCCACCCAGGCGGCAACATCACAGCGGGCCTGGGGCAGGGAGAGCCGTGAGCACTCAGCCCGGTCCTCCGCGGGCACACCCAGCGCGGACACTGCCCGCCTTCCTGAGAACTGGGCACCCCTGCACCCCGCGGAACTCCCCAACAGCGGCACGGAGCGAGCGGGCCTCACCGGAGGAGCTGGAGGTCTCGTCTTTCTTCTCCTCCTCCTCCTTGTCGTTGTTCTCGCCGCCGGTCTCGGCCCCGGCTTCCCGGTCGCTGTCTGTGTCCTTGGACTCCAGCACACTGATGGTGGGGGTGCTGGGCCTGCTGCTGTTGTTGGGGAGCCGCCCGCGTCTACGGCCGCCCGGGCGCTTGGGTGGGGTCTTGATGCGCTCGGCCGTGAGGGCGGCGGCAAACTCCTTTGCTCCCTCCTAGAGTGAAACACAGAGACGTCAAGTTCTACAACTCGTTTTCATAAAGAAGAAAAAAACCCTGCATGAGCAAGTTAGTCAAGAAATTCAACACAATACCCACTTTCTACAATTAACTGGTTGCGTATCTACACACACTGGTTTTCTTTCCATCTCCTCTGACAGTCTGGAAATTTCAGACAGACAGACTTGGGTACCATATATTGCTAGAGTGATGTGAGATCCGTGTATTTGTGAAATGCACTGATTGATTAGTAAGTCAAAATATAAAATGCCCTTTGTGTAACATACAGTCTCTTTAAAGGTGAGTTTTTATGAGAATCACATAATGTGCATCTGGAGTCCAACTTTCCTGTCCAGGGTTTCTAAGCACAGGCCGCTGTGGTCGTGGTCAAGTGCACGGGAACACAGAGCACGCGAGCATGCCGACGGGGCCACTTCCCGCCCTACTACAAACGAGAAGGGCCAGTGTGGCCCCCGTGAGGGACGCACATCCCCAGGAGACGTGGCAGGAACTTGCGGATCAAGGCTGTGGGGCTACATTCTGCACTACCAAGGGCAACACCCAGTCTCAAGTGTGAGAAACCGGTGAGCACACAGGTCACAGAGGAACATTCCAGATGAGCCACACAAAATTACACAGCAGGGCTCGAGAGTCCCTGTTTAGTGATGGGAGAAGTCTGAGAGCAGCCAACAGTTTTATACTTCTACAAAAACCAAATTGCTTAAAAACAGGATACCTTCTGTAGGTGCCATTCAATGAATCTTCTGTCTTAGTTCCTAGGTAGGAGTGGCTTGGTTCAAAAAGGGGAAATGGTAAAAAAAATAAGATAGTACCCATAAAAAACAACTTTTCTACCTCTTATTTTCCTAAACCTTCACTGTGGGCCCTAATGCACGGCTCAAACCACAGGGGCCCGAAGCTCACTGAAAGGCTCAGAACGGCCGAGGGTCTCGAGGTGGGCGGCTACCTGTGCTGCACACGCTCCTGAACTTCGAGGGAGGTGTACCGTAAGAGTCCTTGATCCTAAAAACCTCGGACTGTTGCTGAAAAGATTAGCACGGATACACAAAGACTAATCAACCAGCAAAGGACTCAAGTGTGCGTGTGCACATCAGAGACACGAACCAGGTAAGACCCTCTGCCTCCCGTGTGGCCAGGAGACGCGCGGGAGCCACAGTGCTTAGCTGACTGCACGCGCCTCACAAGGCCAGAGTCCTTGTCCAGCGCCCTCCGGCCGCGCGGCTCTCGAGCTTACCAGGTGCTGGTAACACTGGGGCCCACAAGGCTTGTTGTCCAGAGCTGTTTCTGTGTTCTTCCGCTTGTAAGTGTTGGGTGTGGCGTGGAAAGCTGCAAAATACAGTAATATTTGGATATTTTCCACAGTATTTACCTACTTATTTTCCCCAGTTTCAGTGGAAAAAGTTAGTGAATACATTCCCGCCTTGCCACTCTGTGGTTCAGGTCCCAGAACTCCCCTCCCAGCCCCCAGTGACCTCCCACTGCGTGGCCCCCACGACTCCCTCCGAGCACTGCACCCCCCCCCCCGGCCGGGTCGGGCCGCACACGCCGAGTTCTGCGGTGACCAGTGGTTTCTTACTTCTCTCCTCACAAGTAGAACTGACACGTGTAAACGCTAAATGCTGACCACAAACATTCACTTGAGCCATTAATATCGCCATAGAAACAACTGAGACATCCTCTACAGTGAAACCAGATTTCCTACTTTTACCAAAAGAATTCTGACATCCACAATTTTTATTTTCTAAAGGTCAACAATCTGTCAAAATGGGGAGAAAAACAGAATACCACTTACTAAAAACTAATTTTTTCAAAATCCTCACCCAAAGATATGTTTATTGATTTTAGAGAGAAAGGGAAAGACAGAGAGAAACATCAACTGGTTGCCTCCCATTTGCACCCTGACCAGAGATGGACCCGAAACCTAGGTATGTGCCCCGACGGGGAGTCGAACCCACAACTGTGTTGGTGTGCAGGACGACGGTCCAACAACTGAGCCACCTGGCCAGGGCAAGCTTGAAATATTTTCAATAACTTCAAGTATTAAGATACCAATTTGAAAAGTTAGATTTCTAGAAATCTAAAATAGTCTAGACATTTCTACAAGAGGGAATCCTTTATCACAGTTTTCTAAATGATAAACTTGTTTGAAGTTCTGCTGAGGAAATCTAGTCATGATACCTCTGAGTGTAAGCATGCTAATTTTTCCTTAATCGCCTGAACCTGTTCTTGTCTTATGTTGGAGACTCTACGCTGTTCCCCAGTTCGAGCCCAGGCCCGGCGGCCACTGTCCTCAGCTGAGCCGTTTGGTGCCTTCCCCTGCCACGGCCTCGGGGGGAGAACAGTGGTCTGCACACACAGCGTGCGCCAGACGAGGTGCCAGACTGGAAACGGGTTCCCCAGCCACGTGGCACCCACTACGGGCCCTGACCCAGGCTGACGACAGCCCTGCGGTTTGGGCTGACGTGACTCCTGCTGCCAGTGTGGCTTAGCCGTCCCTGTGCTCGGTCTGGTGTTACAGGGTCCTCACCTGTTCAGAATGGAACCCGTGGCTTGGTCAGTCATATGGTATCAGGCTCTGCTCTGGGGACAAACTCATACACTTGAAAAGAATTTGAGCCTTGAACTGCTACTCTAAAAACATAACTTGGCTGTCTTTTTTTCTCCTCTTACCAATCTGTCTTTATGTCCCTTTAAGTTCTGTGGAAAGAGTACGGCTTTTTTCTTTTCTTTTAAAGATTTTATTTATTTATCTTTAGAGGGGAAGGGAAGGAGAGAAACATCAATGTATGGTTGCGTCTCATGTGTCTTGTGTGTCCCCTGCTGGGACCTGAGCTGCAGCCCAGGCATATGCCCTGACTGGGAATCAAACCGTGATCCTTTGGTTTGCAGGCCCGCACTCAATCCACTGAACTACACCAGCCACAGCAGACTACGGCCTTTTATAAACACTTTTACAATGACTTGTTTCATGAGCATGTCAGTTGTTTTCATCCACATTGCAGTAGTTTGCATCTTGTGTGGTTCTGATGGACGCTGGTGCCACCGGCTCTCTCGAGCCCTCACTGCGGTGCACTCGCGCCTGGGCACCGGACCAGTGGACTGAAACGGGAATTTGAAGTTCCAAACACTTCTAAGCTACTTCATCTGACTTGTATTTTCCTGTAACAAGATGCTGACTGAACGGTCTCACTAGGTCCTTGAATTGTGTGTGATTCAAAGAAAATGCATTTCAGAATTTTGAGACTCTCCTCTTTATACTTGAAAAATAGTTTTTAAACCCTGGCTGGGTGACTCGGTTGGAGCATCATTCCATATACCCAAAACAGCCACGAGTTCAATTCTCTCCTCCACTTCCTCTCTCAAATCATATCCTCTAGTAAGAATTTTATTAAAATATATTTCGAGCTAAATATACAGGAAAGGGGGTTATATAAAATGTCATTATCAGAACAATTAAGCCAAAATACCTTTAAATTTTATAAGGACAGAGCATGAATACTGAGGGTTTTGTTTCTTTTAATGTCAAAAGCACCCTATAAAATCTGGATGAAAAACCTACCTAAAGGTTTTTCAAGCGGAAGTAAAAAGGATCATGTGTAATTCCAGCAAGTCCGTACACCTGTCCTTGAGATTGAACTGCAACACTAAAGACTGACTTAGACTGAGTGTCCCCGTGGGACCCTGCGTTGTCACCACAGCCACGATGCCTCCCACACACAACCGGTGAATCCGAGGGGCGGGACTGGAACACACGTCAGCGATCAACCGTTTCCAGGGGCTTACAGTAGGAGCGGGAACAGAGGGAATGTTCCTGGGGCCACCTGTCTGGCTGCAGGTGTGACCAGACCCTCACCCCCTTGCCTCGGGGGCCACGCCCCACTGCTCTTACACACTCAGCCAGCTCCTGCTCTTGTGACCGACGCTCAGACAGGGCGGAGGGTCAGCTTACGCACAGACCACGGCCCAGAGCACTAGTCTCGTCTCTCCGGAGTAGGACTCACTATTAAGAACGACTTCTTGCTGAACAGCCTTACAGCGAACTCATGTGAATTCTGGGTATAGTCAGACTTTCACTGAAAAGCACCTCAGAAAACAGCAGTGCTGACGTCTGAGCAAGAGAAGCAGTGGCGGCCGCTGGCAGGGGTTCTGTGCTCCAAGCGCACACACACTGACTGGGCAGCCTCAGGCGTCATCTCCTTCAACCCCCACAAGTCCCCAGATACTATTACGTCCTCGTCCCCATTTCCCAGACGAGGAAAACTGAGGTCTAGGGAGATTTAGTCCCTCTGATAATTATACCATTGAAACACTTAAAAAAGCCAGCCACCAGCCATAAACTCATAATACCTGCCTTGAAATCCTAACCCTTTAAAATGTTAAAATCTCTTCGGTCAACATTAATACACATTAAAAAAAAAAAAAAAAATTTCAGACTTCCGCCAAGATGGAGGTATAGGTGGATGTGCCGTGCCTTCTCACACAACCAAGTTTAGGGACAACTAAATATTAGCATCAGAGAACACAACCAGAACACGGAAAATTGAACTTTTCGGAAGTCCATTAACAACGAATTCTTCAGCCCAACCGGTAAGGGGCGAAACCGGCGTCTCGTGAGGGGTTGCACAGGAGGACTGATTCGGACCCGGGCACGGAATCCAGACGCGCGAATCCAGACGCACGGGTTCCAAACGCAGGATTGGACCTAGTGAGCGACCGAGCAACCCACCGGGTGAGCGACTGCAGAGGAGACAGTGGGGAGGCGGTGCTGCGTGTTGACTGCGGTTGCCTATTTGCGGGCGAGCGGACAGGCAAGGGAGTGGGCGGTTGGACCGGGGCCCAGCGTCCCGCGGCAAGTGGCGGTAGAGGGCGCCGCCATTTCCCCGCTCTGACCACGCCCCCACATACAGCGTCACAACCCAGCGACCTGGGAGTCCAAGGCGCCGCTTCTCACATTTAAAGGGCCAGAACAGACCAAAAATGTCGCAGGAAGACCTCAAAGCCCCAGAGATAAATCTAAGCGACAAAGAAATAGCAAAACTCTCAGACGCACAATTTAAAACACTGGTCATCAGGATCCTCACAGATCTGGATGATTATAGCCACAAATTAGAGAAACATATGAAGGCTAAACTAATGGAAATGAATGGAATTCCACAGGAAACCCATAGCGTTGAAAAGGAAACTGGGACTCAAATCAATGGAGTGGACCAGAAGAAAGCAAATAATGGCCAAACAGAAAAGAGTCAAGGAGCAAGAATTCAAAGAAATGAGGAGAGACTTAGGAACCGCCAGGACATCTTTAAACGCTCCAATATCCGAATTATAGGGGTACCAGAAGGGGGAAAGACACAACCACCAGTGGAAAACTTATTTGAACAAATAATAAAAGAAAATTTCCCCAATCTGGCAAAGGAAATAGACTTCCAAGAAATCCAAGAAGCTCAGAGAGTACCAAAAAAGTTGGACTCAAGAAGAAACACACCAAGGCATATCATAATTACATTAGCCAAAATTAAAATGAAGGAGAAAATCCTAGAAGCAGCAAGAGCTAAGGGGACAATCACCTACAAAGGAGTCCCCATCAGACTGTCAGCAGATTTCTCAAAAGAGACCTTACAGGCAAGAAGGGGCTGGAAAGAAATATTCCAAGTCATGAAATCTAAAGACCTACAACCAAGATTGCTCTATCCAGCAAAACTTTCATTTAGAATGGAAGGACAGATAAGGTGCTTCTCAGATAAGATCAAATTCAAGGAGTTCATCATCACCAAGCCCTTATTATATGAAATGTTAAAGGGACTTATCTAAGAAAAAGAAGTTAAAGAAACATGAACAGTGAAAGAACAAGCTCACAGTTATTAACAACCACACCTAAAACGAAAGCAAACTAAAAGAACAGCTAGATCAGGAGTGGAAACATAGAAATGAAGATCTCAAGGAGGGTTAGCAACAGGGGAGTGGGAGGAGGAGATGGGGGAGAAAGTACAGAAAACAAGTAGCATAGACAGTAGATAGAAAATAGATGGGGGGCCAAGAATAGCATGGGAAATATAGAACCTAAAGGACTTGAGACACATAGACATAAACTAAAGGGGGGTAACGGTGGGGATGGGGGGGCAGGGTGGAGGGGGGAATAGAACAACTGTAACAGCATAATCAATTTAAAAAAATAAAAAACAAACAAACAAAACAGACTTTCACATAATTTCAAAAAGGACAAACTGATACAACTGGGTCCCAGGCATACAACGGATTCCTCCGCAGGCTGTCTGACAGCAGCTGACCAAACATGCCAAGTTCTGCTTCAGTCCGACACCCACACACGCAGCCAATCAGAACTGTGTCACCTAAGCTGTGCGGGACAGTAAACTTCAGGCTGGAACAACCGTTTGTTTGTTTGTTTACATTTTCACTTATTTTTTAATCCTCCCCTGAGGACATTTTTCATTGCTTTTAGAGAGGATAAGAGATAAACACTGATGGGAGAGAGAGGCAGCGACTGGTTGCCTCACACACACTGGGATTATGGGCCCCCGAACTGGGGGTAGAACCTACAACCTAGGTATGTACCCTGACTGGGGACTGAACCCTCGACCTCCGGGTTACCTGGACAATGCTCCAACCGAGTCACAGCAGAGCTAGGCTGGAGCTTTTATAAAGAAATTACTATGATTCCAAAGTTGCGGGACAATCAGTTTCCAATTTACCAAATGGACTGTGGCCTAAAAGTTACCTGGAATATAAAGTGGAATAGTTCTCTGACCAAACCATTCCCCCTTCGTCAAAGTACACGAGTCCCACTAACAGAGACGACGCGGCAGAGACACGGAACCTCTAACTCCTTCCCCGGATGAAGCGGTGGATGCCGCTAAGGACTCAGCAACAAGTGAGGCCCGACATCAGGCTCCCGCACAGAACTATAAAGAGAGCTAACATCCGAAAAGGCCTTTGTAACCAGAAGTTTTCTAAATTCTCCCTTAAACAATGAGTTAAGGAGAAAATATAAAGCATTTCTTATAATTACTCAAAACATACAGTAATAATACCAAGTATCAGAACCAAAGAGGAAAGTTGAAGCTGGGCTCTAGACAATTCAGTGTTAAACATACCTCCAAAAATAGGAAAGAATGAAAACAAAATGTTTTCATAAGAGAATCTAAACATAATCAGACTCGTAACAGGAAAAGAGAGCTTCCGGCCAAGATGGAAGCGTGGGTAGACACACTGCTCCTCCTCCCAGAACCAAAAGGCGGACGACAGAAACAGCAAGAACTGCAGGGAAACCGAGCTGTACAGAGTCGAACCACCAAGGAGTTAAAGAAGAAACAGTCACCTGGACGGGTGGGAGGGGCAGAGACAGGCAGCGGAGAGGACTAGTGGCAAGGCGTGGCTGGCAGACCAAGTGGATAAACTGGGAGGAACAAATGGGGAGCGAGACAGACCTCGCAACCCAGGGTTCCAGTGCAGTGGAAATAAAGCCCCAAAACCTTTGACTGAAAACACCTGTGGGGGTTGAGGGGGCAGCGGGAGAAACCCGGCCTCACAGGAGAGTCCGTTGGAGAGACCCACAGGGTCCTGAACGTACACAAGTCAACCCACCCAGGAATCAGCACCAGAAGGGCCCAATGTGCTTGTGAGAAGCGGGGGAAGTAACTGAAATCCGGCAGAGAGCATAGCAAGAGGCACTGTTCCCTCTCGGACACCTCCCCAACATCAAGCGTCCCAACAGTGACCTGGGTTGCCCCGCCCTGGTGAACACCTACGGCACCTCCCCTCACTACGTAACAGACAAGCCGAGACCAACAAACAAACAAAAATGGTCCAAATGAAAGAACAGATCAAAGTTCCAGAAAAAATATAACTAAGCGATGAAGAGACAGCCAAAATGATAGCCAAACTGTCAGACGCACAGTTCAAAACACTGGTCATCAGGATGCTCACAGACTTGGCTAAGTGTGGTTGCAAAATAGAGGAAAAAGTGAAGGCTATGCAAAGTGAAATAAAGAAAAATATACAGGGAACCAACAGTGGAGGGAAGGAAAATGGGACTCAAATCAATGGTCTGCACCACAACGAAGAAATAAACATCCAACTTGAACAGAATAATGAAATAAGAATTTTTTTTTTTAATGAGGAGAGACTTAGAAACCTCCAGGACATTTTTTAATGTTCCAACATCAGAATCATAGGGGTGCCAGAAGGAGAAGAGGAAGACCAAGAAGTTGAAAACTTATTTGAAAAAATAATGAAGGAGAACTTCCCCAATCTGACAAAGGAAATAACTTCCAGGAAGCCCAGGAAGCTCAGAGAGTCCCAAAGAAGATATATCCAAGGAAGCACAAACCAAGGCACATCATCATTACATTATCCAAGAATAAAAATAAGAACAGAATCTTAAAAGCAGCAAGAGAAAAGGAGACAGTTACCTACAAAGGAGTTCCCATAAAGCTGTCGGCTGATTTCTCAAAAGAAACTTTGCAGGCAAGAGGGGCTGGGAAAAAGTATTCAAAGTCAGGAAAGGCAAGGACCTACAAACCTAGATTACTTTATCTAGAAAAGCTATCATTTAGAATGGAAGGGCAGATAAAGTGCTTCCCAAATAAGGTCAGTTAAAGGAGTTCATCATCACCAAGCCATTATTATGTGATGTGTTAAAAGGACTTATCTAAGAACAGGAAAATCAAAACCATGAACAGTAAAATGACAACAAAGTCACAACTATCAACAACTAAACCAAAAAAAACACTAAGCAAACAACCAGAGCAAAAGCAGAACCACCAAAATAGAGATCACATGGAAGGTTATCAGTGGGGGAGGGGGAGAAAGGAAGAAAAGGTAGAGGGAATAACTTACATGTACGACCCATGGACATGAACTACAGTAGGGGAATGCTTGTGGGAGGAGGGTACAGGGCATAGGAGAATAAAGGAGAGAAAAAATGGGACAACTGTAATGGCATAATCAATAAAATATGTTTTTTTAAAAAATAGTAAAACTAGGACTTCTGGCCAAGATGGAGGCGTAGGTAGACAAACTGTGACTCCTTGAACAACCAAAATAAGGACAACAACAATTCAGAAACAAAGTAACAACCAAAACTGAAAGAAAATTAAACTGTATCGAAGTCTGACAACCAAGGAGTTAAAATAGACACATTCACCCAGACCGGTAAGCAGGGTGCAGTTGGGTGGCCGAGGAGAGAAAGGTCGCAGCACAGGAAATGGTGACACTGGGTGAGCAAGACACCCAGGCACGCACAGTGGCACCAGGCAGACCCTGGGCACCCATGCAGCGGCTGGCAGACCCCAGGCATGGGGTGGCAACGGGCAGACCCAGCCAGGCAGATATTGAGAAGTGGGCACCGCGCGCAAGGTGGCTGGCTGACCAGGCGGCGGTCCCACATTCGTGCACAGATAACTGGGGGGGCGAGACAGATCATACAACCCATGGTCCTAGCGCTGGGAAATAAAGTCTCCAAACAACCATCGAAAACACTTGTGGGGGCTGAGGCATAGGAAAAGACTCCCACCCTCACAAGGAAGTTTGTTGGAGAAACCCACAGGGTCCCCAATCTGGCAAAGGAAATACACTTTCAGGAAATCCAGGAAGCTCAGAGAGTCCCAAAGAAGTTGGACCCAAGAAGGAACACACCAAGGCACATCATCATTACATTAGCCAAGATTAAAATGAAGGAGAGAATCCTAGAAGCAGCAAGAGATAAGGGCACAGTCACCTACAATGGAGTTCCCATCAGACTGTCAGTTGATTTCTCAAAAGAGACCTTACAGGCAAGAAGGGGCTGGAAAGAAGTATTCCAAGTCATGAAAGGCAAGGACCTACAACCAAGATTGCTCTATCCAGCAAAGCTTTAATTTAGAATGGAAGGGCAGATAAAGTGCTTCTCAGGTAAGGTCAAGTTGAAGGAGTTCATCATCACCAAGCCCTTATTTTATGAAATGTTAAAGGGACTTATCTTAGAAAAAGAAGATAAAAAACATGTATACTAAAATGACAGCAAACTCACAATTACTAACAACCACACCTAAAACAAAAACAAACTAAAGAAACAACTAGAACAGGAACAGACCCACAGAAATGGAGATCACATGGAGGGTTAGCAACAGGGAAGTGGGAGGAGTGGGGGGGGGGGAAGGTACAGAGAATAAGTAGCACAGAGAGTAGGTAGAAAATAGACAGGGGGAGGGCAAGAATAGTATGGGAAATGTAAAAGCTAAAGAACTTAAGACACATGGACATGAACTAAAGGGGGGGAATGGTGGGGGAGGAGGTGTGCAGGGTGGAGGGGAATGAAGGGGGAAATAGAACAACTATAATGGTATAATTAATAAAATATTTTTTAAAATAGTAAAACTAATACAGTAGTTGAATCTGGGGAAAATATGCAAAACAGGTTTTTGAAAATAAAATATATGTCACTTAATCTCAAGACAAAAAAACAGAAAATACATAATAAAAGAATAATCTCCAAAATAAAAGAATCAGAAAATGCAAGTCAACTTTATACTAATAAATTTCAATAGCTGGAAAAAAGGGGTAATTTTCCAAAATGACAAAAACTTATCTACTAAGCACCATTATTACTTAACAATGTAATGGAGATACAAGCCTACATAGTAAGGCAAGAAAAAGAAATTAAAGTTACCAAGTTGGGAAAGAAGGTGAAACACCATTAATAACTACAGAACTTTATGGCCAACCCAATCAATACACGAGTTACATGAAGAAAATCTGAGGTTGTTAATGGACACAAACTTAATCTTTATTTTTAAATGTCAATTTCCACTTACTAAATAAATTGAATGAGATGCCAATAAACACACCGCCTGGACTTTTTTAATCAGACAAACTGACTCTAAAATTTGTATTAAAATAATAAACAATACTAGCAGGCGATCTCTGAATAATGCCTTCTGGACAGACAGGCTGAAGGAACAGAACACAAAGAGCAAAAGCAGACCCTGGGACCCAAGGGCGACGAGGGCAGGCTCTCACAGCAAATGAGAGAGGGACCTGCTGGTCCCTGGGTATGAGGCCACCAGGTCTCACCTTAAAGGTGGGAGGGTCGGTGGATTCTATCAGAATTCCAAAGGGACTGAAGAATTAGATGGAAAAACAAAGCCTGAAACATACCTGACAAAAAAAAGTCAGAAACCATTTATAATCTTGGAGTAGGGAAAGCAAGCTGATAAATTCAACTGCCCCTAAAATTTCTATAAACACTGCTTATGGGAATTTTACCAAACAACTAGAAAGAAAATTTCAATTCCTCTCCAAAGAAAAAAAAAACTAATTTACTGACTATATAAAGAGCTCCTAGGTTTCAAAAAAAGACCAACAAGCTAAAGGATAAAAATCATGCTAAGAAAAAAAATACAAATCTCAAACATACGGTAAGAAAAAAATGTAAATAGCCACACACACACATAAAAAAAACACTTTTCACGCATCAATAAAAGTCAAAATTAGGTTTCCAACACATTCTACTGGCAGGTCTCTGGGGAATGACCATGCTTACTCTGCTGGTATTTACTTACTTTATCCTCACCCAGAGACGTTTTTCTCATTGCTTTCAGAGACAGAGACACTGACATGGGAGAGAAACATCAATGGTTGCCTTCTCATGCACACCCCAACCAGGGACTGAACCCACAACGTGGTGTGTGCCTTGACCAAGAATCAAACCCACAACTCTTCACTCTACAGGAGGATGCTCCGGCTGGTAAGTCTGTAAAGTGGCACGCCCCCATACGGCAGGTCACCCAGTAATATCTGGAGTGGATCAGGTGAACTTTGCAGCTCAAAATGATGCACAGGTGCACACAGGTGATTCGCTGCAGCACTGGCACAGAAGAAGCCGCGAAACCACCCAAATGCTGGAAACCACCCAAACGCTGGCCTTTGGAGGACAGGGTCAGTGGGTTCCAGCACCTCCTGCTGCAGAAGACTTTGCAGCTGTCCAGACAGGAGCCACATCCACGGCATTAAGTCAGAAAAGAAAAAGACCTGAATAACATGGCCCCACTGGAATAGGGCAGTGAGGGAAAAATACATTTGTATTTGCCCAAAGAAACCATTGAAAGACACAGGAGAGGTAAGGAGACCCCACTGGACACCTTTTAACACAATTTGGAAATATAAGTAATGTGAATGAGGACCTACTCTTAAAATAACAATACCTAAACACAAGCCAAGTACTATTCTAAGTATTTTACAGATAGTAATAAATTTAGTCCTCAGAACATCTTGCAAAGTATATATACTGGGTTGGCCAAAATGTTTGTTCAGTTTTTTTCCATAAAATGGCTCTAGTATCACTTAGTTGTCTTTAACTTCATTTGAAACAATTTTGTTATATGGTGACACCTGTCAAACCAACATGCATTGTTGTATAGTCATTTTAATATTGAAGATCGAAAAAATATGCAACATTTCCAGCATTATGCTTTATTATTTCAAGAAAGTTAAAAATACGCCCTGGCTGGTGTGGCTCAGTGGATTGAGCACCGGCCTGCGAACCAAAGGGTCACCAGTTCGATTCCCAGTCAGAGCACATGCCTGGGTTTCAGGCCAGGTTCCCAGTGGGGGCTGCACAAAAAGCAACCACACACTGATGTTTCTCTCCCTTTCTTTTGCCCTCCCTTCCCCTCTCTCTAAATAAATAAATAAAATCTTTTTTTTTTAAATTTTTTAAAGGTAATAATACAACTGAAACTCAAAAAAAAGATTTGTCCATGTATGGAGAGGGTGCTGTGACTGATCGAACGCGTCAAAAGTGGTTTGCGAAATTTCGTGCTGGAGATCTCTTGCTGGACCATCTCCACAGTCAGGTAGCCGAGCTCAAGTTGATAGCAATCAAATCGAGACATTAATTAAGAATGGTCAATGTTATATTATCATGCAGGAGACAACTGACATACTCAAAAGATCCAAATCAACAGGCTCAATAAAGTTATTGGTAAAAATAAAAAATGTGTCTTATTTTACAGAAAAAAAACCACGTGGATTTTTTGGCCAAGACAATATATATTCTCATCATGTAGACCAAAAAAAAAAAAGAAGCACAAAATGCTGTGCTTATTACAAGTGTAGTAATTTCATGGTGTGTTTGACCCAAGGAAAACACACAGTGTGAAGTACTGTGTCAGGCACAGCTACAGAACGTGTGGCGGCTGTGTGCTAAGGACACCAGCTCTGCCACAGGAGCACGCCACGGCCACGGCTGGACCCCCGCTGCTCAGCACCCCCAGTGGGCAGCCCTTGAAGCCGACGCCCTGAGACTGAAATAGGTCTCTCTCTCCTCCCCAGCTTGAAAGAGATAATCAACAGGCTCAAGGTTCATCAAAATCACTCAAATCTGAACAGCCCGATAAAATGACCCATAACGTTTACAAGTGGCATCCTGCTCCCTGGGCAGCAGAAAGGGACGTGAAATGCTACATCTACAACCAACCCAGTGAAGGGACCATTTCACTCAGTCATTTCGCTATGTGGTATGTGAATACAACTTACAACACTTTCTCGTTTAATGTGTGTGTGTTGTTGCTGATGTCAGAGAGAGAAACACCACGTCGTTCCACTTACGATGCATTCACTGGCTGATTCTTGTATGTGCCCTGACCGAGATCAAACTCACAACCTGAACGTATCAGGATATCCCTCCAACCAACTGAACTGCCTGGCCAGGGCTACAATATTTGTAATAAGAACCGGACATGTTTTATAAAATGACCATGTGTAAAGGGCAATTAAGCGCAATTCAGAACGACCGTTTCAAGGGCTGCGTGAAGACGACACTGCCGAGTTGCCCGTTTTCGCCAAACGGAAATACAATAATTCTAAAAGCCCACTTTGGGTGTTTCTAATTTAACCACCAATACTTCACACACACACACAGCCCTGACTGGCAAGGCTCAGTGAGCCGGGCGTCATCCCGCAAAACAAACGGTCACTGGTTTGATTCCCACGCACCTGGGCTGCAGGCCAGGTTCCGGGTTGGGGGCGTGTGATCAGTATTTCCCTCCCTGCCCCTCTCTGAAAATAAATAAATATTCCACACATGGAAATTATTATTTCCAGACCAAGATACACATCACACAACAAATGCCAAGCTCCAGCAGATCTAAGTAGACAGCAAAACTCAACACGAGGCAGAACTAGCTGCCTGGGCAGGCTAACTCACGTGAAGACACAGGACAGGAGAAGGAGGGAAAAGCTCTGCGAGAGGTGGGACTGGGAACTGAAACCACCACAGCGACATGGACCATTCGGTGCAGGGGCGACAACTCACACAGGTCCCAAGCCCCAACATGTGTCCCTGCCACCAACATCACAGCAAGCGTCACATGGAAAAGGCTAAGCGATGTTAGGTAAACCAGGCGCAGTACACTGGGTGGCATCAAACATACTTTCAAAATGCGCTCCTCAAATGTAGCTGGTACTTTTGAAACTGTTCCTAAAGAAGCTCCAGTTCCAAGAAACCTCATTCCCCAGCATGTCAGAAAAATTAAGTTATGTTGTTATGTGCCAGACTTCAGTTTCATTAGGAACATTTTATGCTTTCCCTGTATTCAAATGAGGATTTTTTTAAAGGACCAAAAAGAATATTTAGCATTAGACAGATACCAGTGTATGTCACCATCTTGTTACCCAATTTCCTCAACAAAACCTGCCCGTCAACACTGCACTCCCGCCCTGGGCTATCAGCTGGTGCACTCAGTTTTACTCTGAAAAGCCTGCGTGGCCAGCACTTCCAGAAAAACCACTGACCTGTGGGGCCCCACGCCAGTGAGAGGCCGCAGCTCCCATCGAAGTGTGCCAAAGACTGCAGAGCAACCCTCAAGCAACAAATCAAAAAATAACTGGACACTGCGCTGGCCAGGTGGCTCAGTTGGTTGGAGCATGGATCCCCAGCCAGGGCACGTGCCTGAGTTGTGGGTTCAATCCTCAGTCAGGGCGAGCATAGGAGGCAACTGATCGCCGTTTTTCTCTCTCACTATGATGCTTCTCTCCCCCCTCCCTCTCTAAAATCAATAAATACATAGGTGGGTAAAGAATTTAAAAATAATAAAAATGAGACACTGATGCCAACATTTTTCAATCTTAACTGGAACAACAAACTGTAAGTTCTCGGTGCAATGAACGACTACAAGCCCCAAGCTGCTCTAAGACACGAGTCCACAGTGAGGACAGGAAACGCAAACACACAATCACCACACTTACGATGGAGGAAGCAGTCGTACTTGAAGCACCGCCTGCAGAAGAGCGTGTGGAAGGAGTGCAGGCTCTGCTCCCTCTGCACAGACTTGGCGTTTGGTCCGTCTATGTTTGGGGTGCACTCGGGGGGGAGTGCCCCCGGGAGCTGCTGCTCAGTGAGTTCTTTATACCTGACGGGAACCAAGAGCACAGGTCAATGGAGAACTAATGTTAACACTCTAAACATAAAGTTTCTCAACAGACTCCATATGGGTTTTTTTTTTTAATCTTGCCTGAAGCATAAAAGAAAAGTCCACAACCATCTTGTGAAGAGCCAATTAAATACTACACATCAAGAATCAAATTCACAAGATGAATCATGGAAAATGTTCTTGTATTAAAGTGAACCACCACCGGCACTACAATTTCTGCAAGTGTCCGGAGAAGCTCTCCTCTGCACGGACAGCTGCCGCCCGCTGTGTGTGCGTTTGCTCTATCGACAGCAAAGGTTTGGAGGCCAGAGGGCCGCGGGCTCGGGTACCGCTCCAAGCACCTTGGCAAACGTGTGACAAATGAAGTGAGTGGACCCTCAGTGACACCAGTTCCACCTCCAACAAACCACATGGTGAGTGGTGTCCCAGACGAGCTGGGACGGCCTCGGAAGAACACATCTTACTTTTCCTTTAGTTCTTCTGCTGTGCCCTTATCTGGAAACATTGAGGAAATGGCTTCAAAAATTTTGTCAGAAGGAAATTTCCTGGGTGGGCGGCTTTCTTTATCTAAAGAGGGAAATACAAAAGGAGAAAAAGAATGAAAGTAAATAAGTTTTCACTCTTTCATTTTCTCCACATCACTGTATGTAATACAGCTCATCTTCAAAAAAAATCACCAACTTTGTGTTTCACTTCTGACGTAATTTACATGTACCTATGGCCTAACAAGGGGTCAGACAAACAAAAGTTTAAAGCAGACCGGGAGGCAGAAGAACATGGGTTCGCATCCCAGCTCTGCGCTGACTGGTTCTATGATCTGGGCTCGTCCCTGACCCACCTGGATCTAGTACCACACCTGGAAATCGACACACAGAACTACATGATAACTGAGGTGCCTGTTATAAAAGATTTCAGCTTCTCTGAAACTGCTATTCCCCCCAAATCCTTCTATATTGTCTTAACGAGCTTGACTAAGTCTCCGCCAACTCTCGGCTCTGCCTGGAGACCTGGAGACCCTGGTCTCGGGTGTGGGAGTGAAAAGCATGGGCCCCGGGGCCATCAGAGGGGTCCCCATCACAGTGTGCTGGGCTGTCCCTTCACAAGAGTGTAACTTTCTCCCCAACGATGACACAGATCCACCCTATGGAGCCTTCTGAGGACTGAGCTGGTGCACACACATGAGCACACGACTCACACACAGAAATGACCATGTGTCATCTAATGATGACTATGACAGCCCTGTAAAACCTAAAAACACAATATACTCTTTTGCTAGCCAAAGGAAGTAAAGATGCTCAAGTGCAGAGTGAAAAGTAGCAAGTAACACTCTAATTTTGACTATACTGCTATTGATGTGATTTTAACAGCCCCCCCCCCCTCCGAAAAAGGAGTTCAGATCCACTTGTACTCGACTGTTTTTTCCTAAACTGTTGGAATGGCCACACACAAACCTCAGACATACCATCTCGGGTCTCCTCCAGATCTTTCTGTTTGTCTTCTCTCTCATCAGGCTCATCTCCATCATCGTCGTCATCCTCATCATTGTACTGACCAAGAGCATTCACCAATTCCACAAAGATTTCATCATTTATAAACCCACATTCTGAAATTCACCAAGTCAGGTATCATAAACATACGGGGGAAGTGGTAACGACACAAGTCTGTGCGACTCTGATCTGGAACAGCCAGAGCCCATCAAACAGCACTGCAACACTACTGTTAAAACGAGGGGAAGACCCTTTCCAGGACTGGCCAAAGGCAGAGTTAGGGCAGAATTTGCCCTCCGCGCCTGTCGCTCTCTCCTTACCGCCCCTCCCCCAAACACTGCCAGTGCCTCCGCTGTAACCTAACTCACTAGAGACTAACTGTGGCCTTGGCCTTCTTCGAATCAGTGTTCCTAGCAGGCCTTGCTTTCCACTAGTGATGACGATGGCTGATGACATTACACATGCCGCCCTCCTGCCAGAACTGCTTGGCAGGCTCTCCTGGACACAGGACACCAAAGCCAGAACTCCGCCCATGGAGTCCAGGTACTGCAGCAGCCTGGCGGGAAGGCACGTGAGAGCACAGAGCCTTCAGGGTCCCACGTCCACGGGCAGCGCTCCAGTTCTTCCTACTCCTACTGCTAAGGAATCTTAACATGTAGATGTTCTCAAACAATTCCATTTGATTTATGCTCCTGATAATTACTTTATGTCATAACCCACTGTGCATAAATTTCACGTGGCAAACATGGTCCTTCAATTTATAAATAAGGAAAATAATGAAAATGTTAGGCTTGTGAGCCAGGCAGCACATAATTTATACATTAAAAAAATCTTTTCCATATCTATGCTTAAAAAAAATCAAATTATCTGGCAACTCTCCAGCCCCCTTTTCCAGGAGAATGAACCCAGGGCTCACCTCTGTCCCCGTGCACTTTTCCATCATAATTTTTTATTAGTTCTTCAATGAAAGTCCCATCCTGGTCTAAAACTTCATCCCCCATATAAGGAATATTGTGTAAAACAGTTTCATCTTCCACCTAAAAGTTAAAAAATAATGTTTAAAAAACACCCTTATCCTATCAAAATTTTTAAAAGTCCACGTGATAAATAACTGACAATTTTTTTCATAAGCCTG